GGAGGAGGAGGAATCTCTACGTCCCCGCCTCCGCCCACCTCTCCTCGTCTCCCGCCCGCCTCGGCCCGCGAGACCCCCGCGGGGCGAGTGAACGACGCGCGGGAGCCATTAGCGCCCAGTCGTTGTTTTGACGCGAACGGGCACAAGGAACGCGCGCGTGTGTGTCTGTGTGTGTGTCTGTGTGTGTGTTGGTGGGGAGGGGTAGTGTAGCGGTTAGCGTGCTGCGCAATGAACTCTGCGACCCTCACGGCCGAAACCAGTGACGATTATCTGAACCGGTCCTGGGCCTCCCCTAGGTCGACTCAGCCTCAAATGAGTACCTGGTGCGGTGCGTAAACATCGCCACTAGGGAGATAAAGGCGGTCGGGCGTGGCGCTGGCCACCCACCACCTCGTGTACCGTTCCGGCCGTCATAGGTGCTCGCTAAGAGCACTTGCCCCTACAGTCTGTTAAGGCTATACGGGGGATCTTTGTTCTTTGTTGGTGTTAGTAGGGGGCACAGGTGGTGCATCAACCAGTCATCTCGGTCATCTCAGTCAGACGACCCATGGCACCTGGGTCTGCCCCGTAACCTCCTGCCAGCGGGAGTTCGACACTTCACGTGGCCTCAAGGTGCACATAGCCTGGCACAAGCGCCATGGTGACGTCACCGCCACTTTGTGGCGAATGGCGGTTGTTGTTGTTGAGACGGGGTGTGTGTGCGTTGAGACGAGGTGTGTGTGTTGAGTCGAGGTGTGTGTGTTTAAAACGAGGTGTGTGTGTGTTGAGTAGGGAGCAGTCGTGTAGTGCTTAGCGCAATGCGCTACGAAGCCGGCGATCCCAAGTTCGATTCCCGCTCGCGACAAATAAACCGGTCCTGGGCCTCTCCTTGGCCGACCTTATACGAGAGTACACGGCGCGAATTGCCTTTAAATACAAATAGTAGTGCGAACATCAACACTGGGAAGGCAAAGGCGGCCGGGCGTGGTGCTGACCACCCACCCCTTCGTGTTCCGTCCCAGCCTTTCATAGGTGCCACTCGCTAGCAGCACTTGTCACGACACTCTGTGAAGACTACAACGGGTTGATCTTTGTATTTTGCGCGGAACAAGTGAAGGTGGTGTGCACATATGTCCTGTGCTGTGAAGAATAAGACGAAGCAGGACCCATTGCCCGAAACGTCGCCTTTTAAAGATCGATCGTGCGCGGTGCGTCGCCAGTCAGGCCGCACGCCTGTGACGTCACGGGGGTGGGCGGCGTGGCTCGTGAGGATCCGCAGCCCCGTATGGACGGTTCTGTCGTTTCGATTCCCGTTCCGCCCCCTGACTTTACGAACCTTTAGTTTGAGAAATGTCCGCCAACCCGTAGTTACGGGCAAATTAAACACCTGATTGTGTTTGTCATACCGCTGTTGATTTATTGTCGCATTCATTGGCTCATTCGATAACCTCCTCGAAAAGCTAAGGGTGCACAAGGGTAACACATCCGTAACAAACAAAATTACCTCCCCAACTTTAAAAATAAAATAAAATTCGTGTTTGCTTTTGGAGTCTGTGACGTGAGCTGGAGCGCGGGCTGATACGGGTGAATGTGGATATCTTACTCGATAATCCACCTTTCGACGCACGAATTAATTATGATCTCTCTATCTAAATCCGCTCAAGCCTCCCGTGAACCACGTGACTTACGTGTGGCCACGCCCACTCGGAACCCGTCCCCTCTCCCCCACCCACTGTGAAAACAGACGCCGCTCCGTGCAGCAGCAGCAGCAGCGCCCATGCCCTGATGCAGCCTCCCCCTCCTCCCTCTCCTCATCTCTCCTCATCTCTCCTCATCTCTCCTGACCCTCGGCTCCCGTTTATCGGCTCCTCCGTTCTGTTCCTCTCATTACCCATCCCTTTTCTTCGTCTCTCTTCCCGATTCCGTCCCTCTGTCTTTCCCCCTTCCTCGTGGTTGTAGCCACCACCTGAACAGCATTCCCTCGTTGTTCACCAACTTGTTAGCCGCGATTTTGGATGTCCGCCAATCGTATCTGGAACTCTACACGATTGCAGACAGAGAGAGAGAGAAAGTGACGAGATAAAGTGATGCGATAACGTGACGAGATCACGTGACGAGATCACGTGATGAGACAGAATGTGATGAGATCAGGAGTGGCCCGTCTATATAGGGCACAATGTTAATGTGGGGGGCCAAATTCAAAAGGAAAAAAATACAGATTAAAAAAAACGAATAAAAAAATTATGATAAAATAACAAAGATGTAATTAATAATAGCGTTTTTCCCCTTTTTTTCTGGCACCAAAACTGAAACATTTTTACGAGGAATCATGTGTGCATTAACCACAATACTTGTGGTTTCAGTTTTGTTGCCAAAAAAGGGGGAAAACCCTATTATATTTTAGTACTGGCAAAGTAGGTCTAATGATAAAGATGTAATTTTCAATTCTGTGCACGTACAGAGGGAATGTGAAATATAATTCATTTCTCAACATTTTTGATCATTTATTTCTTGGACAAACGGACGGAGAACCCGAATGAGTATGGCTCTGTTAGAAAAAAATACGCTTTATGAACATTAAACGCAAAATAGGGGCAAATGTGTCTCAGTTTACGTAAAACATCGGCCTAGATCTGCCCTTGGGGCTTGGGGGTGGGGCACCAACTACATGGTTCGCATCGGGCCGCCCCTGGATGAGATAAAGTGATGAAATAAAATGATGAGATCGAGTGCTGAGAGATGTATTCTTTTCTGTATTTAAGGAGACCCGTTGAAAGGATATGATTACGTAGGTCGATATCATTTTCCGCGAAATTAGCTATTCACGATCATTTCCGGAACGTATCCCTCGCGAATAACGAGGGAGCATTGTACAGCACTTATATATAAATATATACGGTAACATCCCCATGTACGTGTCCCCGATTAACGTCGCTTCGCAACAACGTCGTCACTTTATTAATACAACCACCCAATTTGCATCGCCCCAACCACCCACACTTACATCCACCTACTGACTATCCTGACAATCCGCTTCGATTAACGTCGCATCGATAGCCATCGTCGCACATTTCAGGAACGCATCCCCTCCCGCCCACCGACGTAAACCGGGCTATTACCGTATTTCACAAAGTCGTCATCCTCATAATCGTTATGCTCGTGTCGCCATACGTTCTTGACGGGTGCTCGTCGATGCAACACGAGTGGTGGGTGCTGCTGTCGCTCTCACAATGATCGCGAGCGTTTCGCTCGACCAGCGTCATTCCGCTTCGAACGCGACGGTCAAAAAGAAAAAAGCCACCCCAGCCAGCGCACGAGCGAACCCACGGACATCTCGCGTCGTCGACGTTGTCGACTCAGAGAGAGAGAGAGAGCGCGCCGTCAGCTGAGGACGCAACTCTGTGAATAAACGGCGCTCAACAAGCGGTAACACAATTCGAGTTATCGAGGATGGCACGGGGAGCGCATCGCCGGATTTCATCAACGAGCTCGAAGGGTGTAGTCCAATCGGCAGAGGGGAAGACAAAGACGGTCGGACGTGCACGCCTCTCCTGTGTATACGTGTGACGCCACCAACACCAGCCACTAAAAGTGTATGCAGTGGCAGCCGTAATAGATGCTCGCAAAAATAGTCTATTGTATTTGATGACAGGCGTGTGTACGTGTTAGAGAGTGTTTGTCTTATCGGAGCGGTGGCGCAGTGGTTAGCGCACTGCACTACGAAGTCGGCGACCCGAGTTCGATTCCCGCTCACGGCCAAACATCAGTGGCGAATATTGGATCCGATCCTGGGCCTCCCCTAGGTCGACTTAGCCTCAAAATTAGTATGTATGTTGGATTTCTTTCGCACCGTACGTAGGCAACCGTGCTAATCGGAGGTGCTGAGCGCGGGGAAAGACAACAAACTAAACACAAAAAGCAGAATACCTGGTGCGGTGTATAAACATCGCCACTCGGGAGACAAAGGCGGTCGGGCGTGATGCTGGTCACCCACCTCCTCATGCACCGTGCCGGCCTTCATAGATGCTCGGTAACATCACTTGGCCTTACAGTCTGTGAGGTTATAACGAGGACCTTTGCTTTTTTATGTTTACCTCTTATCTGCGTGTATAAAACATCAAAGAGTAACGTGTAACCACGTGGCACACAACCAACTTGACCCCAGGGTCACCAGAGTCGTGGAGGCGACCGCCCAGCCAGCAGCGATTGTCTGATCCAACATTCATCTCATCTCTCTCTTCGCGGATTCTCTCTCTCTCTCTCTTTTATGATCAGAGGAAACAAGAAGATGCTCGGTGTAGTCGGCACTTTGCTTCGTTCATCATTTCGTTTTTTATAATGCTTTGCTTGATGTAACCCCCCCCCCCTTTTTTAAATGAAAGATTTAACAATGGATGTCACGCTCTGCTCTCCTCACCCGATCACTTTCCACACACAAAGCGCTCACCACAAATGAACCACAGCGCCTTGCCGATCTCGTCAAGGCGCACAAATCATCACGCGAACTCCGCTCATCATCCTCGCAGCAGCAGCGACGGCTTTTGTCGGGCCGCCGAACAAAAAACGGTCACCGCATCGCGCGGCGTTTCAGGTGCGCTTCTGCGTCCGTCTGGAACGTTCTTCCTTCCGATACCAGGAAGCCACTGGAGCTGTGGAGTTTTAAATCATCTCGTTTGAAAACTAATTTCTTCAGAACTGCTTTTTGTGTTGAGTGTTTTGTCCTTACCTCGCACCTCCGATTAGCACGGTTGGCTATGTACGGTGCGAAAGAATTCCGGCATACAGTGTACATACTTCCTCTCTATCTGTCCCTCTCTCTCTCCTCGTCTTTCTCTGTTCCCTCTCTCACTCTCCATCCCATCTCTCTCCTTCTCTCCGTATCACTTTCCATCCTCGATCTTTCTCTGTCCCCTTCTCCCCGTCTCTCTCATCCCTATCTCACGTCTCCATCCCATCTCTCTCTCCCTCTGTCTCTCTCTATCACTACCCCCTCCACCTCCATCCCTCTCCCCTCCGCTCTCTCACTCGCCGAGTCTCCCGCCGCCGCTGAAGTCGGTGTCTCTCGCTCCGGGCCGGAACAGCTGAGCACGCAGCACCATCGCGAAACCGGCCCTGAGCTGGCGATTGAACTTGGCGAAGAGCAGCGGATTGAGCGCCGAGCTGATGTAGCCGCTGAGCACGGTGATCCTGAAGGGCACGAACAGCGCCTCGTCCACCAGCGAGACCACGTCCACCAGGTAGAAGGGCAGGCACGACAGCAGGAAACAGCCGATGATGATCCCCAGCTGCTTAGTCGCCTTGTGCTCGCTCCTGGCCGCCGCGGTCGCTTCGGCCGACGACGATTTCCCTCCTCCTCCAACGCCGCCAATGCGACGCGCCTGCAGCCTCGCCGCTCGGTAGATCTGCCCGTAGAGCGCCACCACGAACGCCACCGAGACGATGTAGGGCCCCATCTGGATGACGAATATGATGAGGCCGTGCACGTAGAAGAAGCAATCGTCGGGGCACAGGATGCGGTGGATGGTGTTGGGCGAGAGCGCGGGGCTCAGGCTGAAGAGGATGGGCGCCGAGACGAGCGCGGATCCGAGCCAGCAGAGCGCCAGCATCGCCCCCACGGTGCGCTCGGTGACGCGCGCCGCGTAGCGCAGCGGGTCGCACACGGCCACGTAGCGGTCGTAGGCGATGCATGCGACGTGCAGGATGGAGCACGTGGTGAGCGCGAAGTCGAGGAAGAAGTGCCAGTGGCAGAGGAGGTCGGCGTAGAACCAGCAGCTGTACACGGCCTTCACCGTGGCCAGGGGCATCACGAGGGTGCCCACGAGCAGGTCGGAGACGGCCAGCGACAGGGCCATGACGTTGGGCCAGGAGCGGAGGCGCCTGAAGAAGGAGACCGTGGCGATGAGGAGGAGGTTGCCCGCGACCGTCGTGGCGTTGACGAGGGCGACCAGGGTGAGGACGATGGCGCGGTCTCGCACAGAGAGGCTGGGGCCCGTGCAGTTGAGGTCGTAGAAGCGGATGGTGCAGGAGGAGTTCGCCATGGCTCGAGAGAGAGAGAGACTTTGCTTTGTTTGGGATAAAGCGACGATGGTTGTTTGGTGGAGACCGTTGGGATGAATCGACCGCTCGCTCGCACCTTGGCCCGGCTTCTCGCTGCTTGTCACGCGTCTCCCTTCCTTCGGAGACAGCCGAGATCGGCGCGCCGTATCACCCCGGGTCGTCCTTGTGAATAAAACAACAGCGACAACGACGTTGATGGTGGGACATGCCACGGATGACGTTGGACTTCTTTCGCACCGTATACGTAGCCAACCGCGCTAATCCGGAGGTGTTTGTCGCGGTATAGTCTGGCGTGTGGGGCAACAATTAACAAAACTATCTGAACATTCGTCAACAACACGGTGTTTGTGTGTGTGACACTTTTAAAATGACACATCTGTAATGTAGGCGACGTTTCGGGCAATGGGCCGTCTTCATTAGTACACGTGCAAATTGCATCGATCGTGAGATGCAATGTGCACATCCGATTTGCCTATAAATCCAGCGCTGTGTGTGAAGGCAGCTGCGAGGGTTGATGGATCACGCACGGATGTCGCGAAACTCCTTTGCCGTGGGCGTCCAGGAGGAGGAGGAGAAAGCGGCACTGCAACGACTGACATCATCTGTCCCTTCTCTATGGGATTGCGTGTTGCACCCTTCCACGCATAATCAGCGCATTGAATTTGATTAAAACACCCTCATGTATAGAGGACCCCAGAGCTTGGGAAATTGTTGGTAGCACCGGCGCCTTACCGCCTGCTGCCTTCCAGCTTGTCTGTGGCACACGATGCGACCGTGCTCGTCAAGACGCGTGGGCTTATGTGGTCGCACTCATCACAAATGAACCACAACACCTCGCTAATCTCGTCAAGGAGCATAAACCATCACGCCACCTCTGGTCATCCTCACAGCGGCACCGTTCGGCGAACCATCGAACAAAGGCGGTGGTCACCGCGTCGCGCGGCGCTTTCAGGTGCGCTTCTGCCGCCGTCTGGAACACTCTTCCTGCCGATGTTAGGAAGACACTGGAGTTGTGCACTTTTACATTATCAAGATTGAAAACTCATTTCTTTAGAGCTGCTTATTTGTGTTTAGTGCTTTATCCCCCCCCCCCCCGCTCGCACCTCCGAATAGCGAGGTTGCCTACGTACGGTGCGAAAGAACTTCCACACACTTCTCGTGTGGCTAGCACCTCGCCCGTCCGCTTTTGTCTCCCCAGCGCTGATGTTTACACACCGCGACAGCGACTCATGTAAAGCGAAGTCGACCTTGGGAATCCGCCGATAGCGGTTCAAATATTCGTCACCGATGTTGGCCGAGAGCGGGTTTTGAACTCCGGTCGCCGGATTCGTAGCGCGGTTGCGCCAACCGCTGCGCCACCGCTCACCGCAGAGCACAGACGCACACAAGCACGCAATCATCGCGTGCTTCATCTGAAACTCGAGACCCGTTCTCAGGAGGGTGCTGTTGTCAAGATGGGGATGAAAACCGCAGTGAAGATGATGGTCAAGATGATGATTATAATCTTGGTTTTGATGATGCTCTTCATGATTTGATGATTCATGTGATGATTAGTGTCACGATGATGATGATGATGCTTATTATCGTTGAGATGATGAAAGCGACAATGGTAATGATGATGACCATGGTACTGATGACTACGATTTTTTTTAAATGATGATTCTGCTGCTGCTGATGATGATGATGAAGTTCATCATTGCCACCATTGTGGTAAGACAGTTAAAATCGATGTTGATTGCGAACGACGACTTTGACACAAGATGGTGAAGCTGCGCGACTGCCTTGACTCGCCACCCAGAGCCCACCGGTTCTATTCAATCTCCCGGGGCGGCAACTAAAAATCCATCCCCCTTCCTCCTCCTTCTCCTCCTCCCCGTCCCCCCTCCCTCCGCCCAGCAGCAGCTGCTGTATTAATGGCAGCTTCACCGCGCCTGGTGGGGTAAAGTGTGGGTACACCAACCTCTTCAAGGGATGCCTGGCCAGCGGCGTGGAAGAGTAGGCCAAAGGTGCCCACCTAGAGGAGGAGCCCCTCCGCTCCCCCGCTCGAGTGGCGGCGCTTCGCCGGCAGCGGCGTGAGCTAAGCGGTTGCAGAGCCGCACGGTTTGTGCTCATGACGTTGATGACGACGATGATGGTGGTGGGATTACAACATCAATTGTTGCACAAAGACAACGCGACATCGATGATGTATAATGCACACGGCAACAACCACAACAGCAAACAGCAACCACCACCACCACCTCACCTGCAAACACTATACGCGTTCTCTCCACCTCAAATGTCCCCACCTAAACCACATTTACAATCAATAGAACGCGTTCAGAGTATTTGCGTGGCACAGTGGGCCGTGCACCTGCTGAAATGTACACGGAAAAAATGTGTTCAGTTTTAAACATTCACAGCAACAGCGACAATTCTACCACTCGCGCCGCGCTCTTGCTGTTTAAACGCATTCAAGTACGCGCATCGATCATATATATACACACACGCATACGTACCCACAGACACACACATGGACACACAGAGACACACTCGCGCTAAAAAAAATGCGCTCTCCCAGGTGCTGAAACCTAATTATTTCCACGGAATTTCACACTTCCACCGCAGGCGTGGGATTTGAGACGAATCAGGCAGCTCCCTTTGGAGGTGGCCACACCTTTATTGAGGCGTTGGTTAACTACAAGATGCAGAGCGGTGGCACCACATTCGACCAAAGTTCGTCTGACGTTGCTCCGACATTGTTCCAGCGTTCGTCCAACGTTTAGCCAAGGTTGGTCCAACGTCCGTCCAACGTTGAGCCAAGGTTGGTCCAACGTTCATCCAACGTTCGTCCAACGTTGGTCCAACGTTCGTTCAAAGGCGGTTCCAATCACATGACCACGTTGGCGTAACGTTGCAATGTTCACGGAGTACAAACTCGGCGACGTGAGTTCGGTTCCTGGCCGAGTGGTATCCTGCATTGCTCTCCTTTCACGAACCCGCCATTGACCGGAGTGGTGAAGTATGGTTGGCCAAACAACCCCCATGACCGCCACGGTCGTGAGCAGGCCTTCATCCAGCAGTGGATTCACAAGGGGCCGCACGGTACACACCGACATGGGGCAGTGACGTGGCCCGGCGGCGGCACGTTTCGCGGTTCGGATCCCAGCGGCCGCCCTAGTTAATACAGCAGTGTGCGTACTGACCCGAGCAATACTCCTACGCCGCCGTCTGCTTTGCTCACTGTGAACACTCAAGATCCCGCAGCGTTCATTCGCAAGGTAAACCACTGTGCGCCGGCGTCAGGAGTCCAAATTTGCCAAATTCAGAAACTCAGCTGAGGTCACACAGCGCATCAGCGGCAATTATCACCCCCACCCCCTAATGGCATCACACCAATGCACAGCTGATACTGGGGGGGGGGTGCCCTAGGTTAGACCACAGCAACCATAGGCCCCCTACTGGCTCGACTGATAACCAAGATCACCACTCTTGCAAATGAGACTCCGATCCTTGGTCCCTTGAGTCCAAACAGCGGTGCTGCCGTTTATGTAGCGGTGAGCAGAGCCGTCCTCAGGTTGGTATGGTGATTCGGGGCAAACCGCCCCGGGCCCCACGCTTGGGAGGGGGCGGGGGGGCTACGCTTCGACGTCACGGTGTCAGTGGGAATACTCCTGGTTTAGTTGGGAGGCGTCGGGGCAGCCAACGTGGCGTGATTTTCTCTGGGCACCGCACCCCTCCTATGGACGGCTCTGGCATTGAGCACTCCTGCTGTTCCCTACTTGCTCTGTGTATCTAGAGGATTACCAGTCCCTGGAGAATTATTTATTCTCTCTGTCCCTCCTTCTCCGCTGTGCCCAATATTGTTGTTGTGGTAATGTTCTGACCTGCACCTACTGGACATCTGTAAAAAACAGCATTATGGCTCAACACTGTCCATAGAGAAGTAATAAAATAATAAAAATAAAACATAATAAAATAATTCTCACGACGTTTCGGCCACAACGCAAGCAGCCGTCCTCAGGTGAAGAACATGTCTGTCGATAAGACAGAGTCTAAATGACACGTCTTAGGCTTGGAGTGTCTATTTAAGCTGTGAGGGAGGAGGAAGAGAGCCTTGACAAAAGAATTTGCATTTGAAGAGGAATTTAGCATATTTATGGGAAATGCAGGAATGCGAATAGTGCTAATTGTGAAATGCGTGGGAGGTGGGCGGAGGGTTTTCAAAGTCATATTATGCCCATGCATTATGCAGGATTAGCAGCATCAAAGGGAGGGGGCAGGGGCAGGGGCAGCACCAACAAAGGGAGGGAATGTGAATAGTATGCAGCTGCAGCAACCAAACAACCATGTAAAAAACTAAAGTATAAACTTCATAGTATCATCAGTATACTAAATATACTCTCCAATAAGCTGAGCTACTAACAGTAAGTAATACATTACAATTCTATGTCGCAAAAAATATAATATGCTTCCAGCTAAACTTTTTTCTCTTACATCACATGGGTCTACCCCGTTCTATATACTGCCATAGACAAACCAAACATTAAATTATATACTGTATTACTATACACCACACTATACCTTATACATTGTTATATTACACTATGTATTATTCTACCCACCCTAATGTAGATCAAACTGCTATATATTCACTATACAATTACGATACTATATATTACTTTGTACATTGTATTAAGCATATAAATGTTATACTATTTGTTATTATACACTGTACCATTGACCGTCGTGTGAAAGATACTAAGAGGCAGCAACGAAATATGAGAATAGGAGAGTAGCAGAGCAAAGAATCCATTCCCTGCGGAGAATACAATGCCAGTGAGTGGAACGCGGTCTGAGAGTCACCGTAAACGTGAACACAATTAGTTAAGATCCGAAATGGTTTATTACGTCCTTCCAATGATTGCTAAGCCAGAATCCATCTTCTCGGTTGAAATTGTCTCTGTGTTTGTATATGTGGATCGCCTCATGAACGAATCTCTCATGATAGCCAGATGGCTTGCAGAAAACCTCTGTCTTGGAGAAGTCAATGTCATGTGAGCCCACTGAATTGTAACAGTGATCTGCCACGGCTGAGGAGTTTGTCCTACCGTGTTTCAGGTCTGCTTTATGTTCACGGATGCGGTCCGAGACATGTCGTTTGGTTTCTTCAATGTAACTGCTACCACAGAGGAAACTTAGTTTGTAGACGCCAGGGTACTGTATGTCTGGAACCACATCTTTTACAGACGGGACCAGATCACGGATTTTATGTACTGTGTTGAATCGGACCTGGATCTTGTGTTTAATCAGGATTTTGGAGATCTTTTTTGTGACCCCAGCAATGTAGGGTAAGGTGATGGTCTTGAAAGGCTCCTCAACAGGATCCTTCTTGATGGTTGGAGTGATGGCCTTGCGGATTGTGTAGTCGGAGTAACCATTATCCTTAAGAGCTTGGCGTACGTGTTTGAGTTCACTGGCAATGTGTTCCTGGTCGGAAATGCATTGGGTTCTATGGTATAGAGTCTTGATGAGGGAATTCTTCTGGGATGGATGGTGGTGGGAATCCGGTTTTAGGTAAGCATCCGTATGGGTGGCTTTCCTGTATACAGAGTGGCTCATTGAACCATCAGGTCTCCTTTTAATTAGGACATCTAAAAAGGGTAGCTTGCCATCTTTTTCGACTTCCATGGTGAATCTGATGGCTGGGTGTATGGAATTGATGTGGTCGAGAAATTGGTCTAGAGCAAGCCGGCCATGTGGCCAGATGACACAAGTGTCGTCTACGTACCTCTTCCATGGAAGAGGTACGTAGACGACACTTTTGTCCTGATGACCGGATGGTTCAATGAGCCACTCTGTCTACAGGAAAGCCACCCATACTGATGCTTACCTAAAACCGGATTCCCACCACCATCCATCCCAGAAGAATTCCCTCATCAAGACTCTATACCATAGAGCCCAATGCATTTCCGACCAGGAACACATTGCCAGTGAACTCAAACACGTACGCCAAGCTCTTAAGGCTAATGGTTACTCCGACTACACAATCCGCAAGGCCATCACTCCAACCATCAAGAAGGATCCTGTTGAGGAGCCTTGCAAGACCATCACCTTACCCTACATTGCTGGGGTCACAAAAAAGATCTCCAAAATCCTGATTAAACACAAGATCCAGGTCCGATTCAACACAGTACATAAAATCCGTGATCTGGTCCCGTCTGTAAAAGATGTGGTTCCAGACATACAGTACCCTGGCGTCTACAAACTAAGTTTCCTCTGTGGTAGCAGTTACATTGGAGAAACCAAACGACATGTCTCGGACCGCATCCGTGAACATAAAGCAGACCTGAAACACAGTAGGACAAACTCCTCAGCCGTGGCAGATCACTGTTACAATTCAGTGGGCTCACATGACATTGACTTCCCCAAGACAGAGGTTCTCTGCAAGCCATCTGGCTATCATGAGAGATTCGTTCATGAGGCGATCCACATATACAAACACAGAGACAATTTCAACCGAGAAGATGGATTCTGGCTTAGCAATCATTGGAAGGACGTAATAAACCATTTCGGATCTTAACTGATTGTGTTCACGTTTACGGTGACTCTCAGACCGCGTTCCACTCACTGGCATTGTATTCTCCGTAGGGAATGGATTCTTTGCTTTGCTACTCTCCTATTCTCATATTTCGTTGCTGCCTCTTAGTATCTTTCACACGACGGTCAATGGTACAGTGTATAATAACAAATAGTATAACATTTATATGCTTAATACAATGTACAAAGTAATATATAGTATCGTAATTGTATAGTGAATATATAGCAGTTTGATATATATTAGGGTGGGTAGAATAATACATAGTGTAATATAACAATGTATAAGGTATAGGGTGGTGTATAGTAATACAGTATATCATTTAATGTTGGGTTTGTCTATGGCAGCATATAGTACCTGTTTGATGTAAGGGAAAAAAGTTTAGCTGGAAGCATATTATATTTTTTGCGACATAGAATTGTAATGTATTACTTACTGTTAGTAGCTCAGCTTATTGGAGAGTATATTTAGTATACTGATGATACTATGAAGTTTTTACTTTAGTTTTTTACATGGTTGTTTGGTTGCTGCAGCTGCATACTATTCACATTCCTTCCCTTTGTTGGTGCTGCCCCTGCCCCTGCCCCCTCCCTTTGATGCTGCTAATTCTGCATAATGCATGGGCATAATATGCCTTTGAAAACCCCCCGCCCACCTCCCACGCATTTTACAATTAGCACTATTCGCATTCCTGCTTTTCCCATAAATATGCTAAATTCCTCTTCAAATGCAAATTCTTTTGTCAAGGCTCTCTTCCTCCTCCCTCACAGCTTAAATAGACACTCCAAGCCTAAGACGTGTCATTTAGACTCTGTCTTATCGACAGACATGTTCTTCACCTGAGGACGGCTGCTTGCGTTGTGGCCGAAACGTCGTGAGAATTATTTTATTATGTTTTATTTTTATTATTTTATTACTTCCCTTCTACGTGACTTTACCGAAAGAACCAAGAAGATGAATTCCTGCAGTCACGAAAGCTTTAAATCGAAATTTAAACTGTCCATAGACTCAACACTGCCCATAGACTCAACACTGCACCATAGATTCAACACTGCACCATAGACTCAACACTGCACCATAGACTCAACACTGCCCATAGACTCAACATTGCCCCATAGACTCAACACTGTACCATAGACTCAACACTGCCCATAGACTCAACACTGCACCATAGACTCAACACTGCACCATAGACTCAACACTGCCCATAGACTCAACACTGCACCATAGACTCAACACTGCACCATAGACTCAACACTGCACCATAGACTCAGCACTGCACCATAGACTCAACACTGCACCATAGACTCAACACTGCACCATAGACTCAACACTGCACCATAGACTCAACACTGCACCATAGACTCAACACTGCACCATAGACTCAACACTGCACCATAGACTCAACACTGCACCATAGACTCAACACTGCACCATAGACTCAACACTGCCATATAGACTCACCACTGCCCGTAGACTCAACACTGCACCATAGACTCAACACTGCCCATAAACGCAACACTGCCCATAGACTCAGCACTGCCTATATACTCAACTATATTATAGTGCGCCTTCAGTTAAGGCGCTCTATAAATCTAAGATAAGATGTAGTCACCAGAACACACAATTTACGTAACGAGCACGTATTCACTCGTTGCACGACGGCTGACCTAGTTGATACTCCGTCTTTCAAGAACCGTAACGATATCAAATGCCGCCCCGTCAGCTTCGAGGTGCACGTTAAACATCCCATGACGTTCAGTCGCAAGAGCAAAGCCGTTGCGGTGCCGGCGTCATGGTTCACATTTGCGAAGATCGCAGGGCATATGACTCACGTGGGATCGCGCCAACAGCAGCAGCAACAACAGCAGCAACTAAAGTTGCTTACCGTGTCCTCTACGTGTCCCCATCACCCGTCATCCCAACCCCTTCCTCCTCTGCCTACTCCTCATCATCCTCCTTCCTTCCTAGTCCTTATCCTCCTCCTCGCGATAACTCCACACCACTCTCCAACCACCTACCGCCTCCATAACCTCCACGTTGCTCACCATTATCGTCGCGCCACGCAAATCCTTAGCCGGTGGCTCTGGCGGGAGATTTGGGCGGCAGAAGGCCACTGCCGATGCCGAAGATGTAGGGGCTGGTGGAGGTGTAGACTCCCGTGATGAAGAAGTCAGCGTCAGACCAGTAGATGAGGCGGTCCGAGTCGGCCAGGAACTGCAGCGCCAGGTGGGCGCACCAGGACACCTCGAACAGCATCAGGGCCATCAGCACGGGGCCCGAACCTCCGCGGGTCTTGACAGATCCTCCTCCGCCTAAAGGTGGACCAGAGGATCGATGACAAGATACGACCAAAGGATGAATCAGAAAACAGGGGACAGACGATTTACAAGAGGACAGACGAGATGCTGAGCGAGAAGTTGGACCAAATGATGGACCAGTGTAGAAGATTGAACAGAAGAGGGCCCAGAGGTTTGTCCAGAAGTTGGCCTGGGGGATAGACCAGAACCAAAAGCTGGACCAAAGAATGGACCAACACATGGACCAGAAGATGGGTGAGCTGGGTAGTGGTGGTCACGCTGCACGTGGCTGCCTGTGAACCAGCACTGTGGAGGCAGCAACGAGGGTTGGTGGATCACCCGCAGATTTTGTGAAAACCCCTTCCTTGTGGTGGGAATCGAGTACGAGCCATACTCTGGCTCGCCGGCAGAAGGCGGTACAGAAAGTGTGAACCAATTTCCATCTGTTCCATCCGTGTGGAATAAAGTGTTGGCTACTCCGGTTTACTCCAACACGTATAAGCACTCGTCAGTGATTGCCTGAAATCACCTTCATCTATACGCGCACCTCCGTTGGTTGCGGGTCACGCGGCGTTTGTGAGTTGCGGTTATATCTACGACGCTGGCAATATAAACACTCAATATTATTATTAGGGTGCAGTGAGAATGTAAATGAGAAGACAGGACCAGACGCTGATCTTGGAGATGGACGAGAAGATGCACCAGCAGATTGAGCAGAAGATTTACTGCAATATGGACCAAAGCAGTGTACTTCATTGCAAGGCCCGAAGGCCACTCGTGGCCACTGGCAGGGCCCCGAGTGGCCTTTAGTGCGGCCCCTGACGTGCGATCCCCACCGACAACACACAGACAGCAAAGACAACCCCCCCCCCCCCCCATTATCATCATGCTGCTGTCACAAACCCCCAATGGTTTCAAATGTGTGGTGACCCTCGCTCACACTGATGAAAGTGGCAACCCCCCCTACCCCTTTCCTCTGAAAATTATTTAAGAATACTGGACCAAAGAATGGAGCAGAGGATTGACCGTCGCATGCACCAGAAGATTTACCGGAGGAGGGTTCGGCAGAGGACAGCCCCTTCACCGCGGCCCTCCGAGAGCGCATCAGCGTGAGGACGATGCGCAGCGACGCGACGAAGACCACGACGAGGGGACAGACGTTGGTGCCCAGGAGGTAGATGTACTTGTAGGCCATGTGGGAGACAGCGCAGCGGCGGGCCTTGGGGCACGTGAAGAGGTCCGACGGACACGTGTCTCGGTGCATTGACAACGACGACGAGTTGGTGGATGATGATGATGATGATGATAGGTTAGTGAATGATGACGATGTTAGGTTGGTGAATGTTGATGATGTTGAGTTGATAGAGTACGGCATCAGAATGATGGGCGCTTCCCACTCGCTGCCCATGAAGATGGACGGGAGTGAGAAGGCCACGGTGGTGGCCCAGGCGAGGAGGCAGCAGAGGCGAGCCAAGCGCTGCTGGTCGAGAGGTGCAGACCGCAGGGCTGGGTTTGAGTCCCGGTCCCGGGTTTTGTGTGCTGAGAGATCGGCGTTCTTGTTGTTGTTATTGGTGGTGGTGATGATGTTGGTAGTGGTGGTGATGGTGGTGGTGTTAGTGCGTTCCAATGGTCTTTGGATGGTACTTGAAACATGCTGTGGGCTTGCTGCTTCTATTATCTGTCCTCCTATCACTAATCCTCCTCCGAATCTATCCCCTTCTGTCTCTACTCCAAATAGTCCGCGTCCCACGTCTCTCATTCTTCCTCCTACAAATACCCCTCCATCTGCTTCTTCTTCAAATACTGCATCTCCTCCTCCACGACCATCACCACCTCCATCAATGTCACTCATTCCTTCTCCTCCTGCCGCTCTATCACCATCACCCCCAACTCCACGTCCTTCTCCGATTCCTCCTCCTGCTTCCGTCGCCACTTCCTCCGTTCTGCCACCACCTTGATCACCACCGCGACCGCCGCTGAACGCCGGCCAGCCGCACAACTTCTGATAGCGATAGACGCAAATGAGCAGCGTGAAGCAGATGGCGCCCGTCTCGGCCACCGCCGACGCGAACTTGAGCGCGGGGCAAACGACGGTGAGGATGTCTCCCTCGAGGTCTCTGGGCCTCGTCATCTCCACCATGGCGATGCTCACCAGGTCCGGCATGTCGGCGAGGCACGTGCCCACCAGGTTGGCCGTCGCCAGGTTGGCGAGGAACAGGTGGAAGGTGCGGCCACGCTGGCTCCGGCTGGGCCCCGCGGCGCTGCTCGGCGCGGTCTTGGCCCTGCGCGTCTGCAGCCCGCCGCTGAGCAGCAGAAGCGAGAGCAGGAGGAGCGAGTTGCCCAGCAGGCTGGCCAGCCACAGCAGGATGCGCAGAGACACAATGGCTCTCTCGGTGTGGTTCATGGTTAGTGGGCCACGTGAGTTCGTGTGTGTGTGGTTGTCTACAGGTGAGTGTGTGTGTCTACAGGTGAGTTTGTGTGTGTTTATAGGTGAGTTTGTGTGTGTGTCTACAGGTGAGTGTGTGTGTGTCTATAGGTGAGCTGGGGTGTGTGTGTGTGTCTACAGGTGAGTGTGTGTGTCTACAAGTCAGTGTGTGTGTCTACAGGTGAGTTTGTGTGTGTGTCTACAGGTGAGTTTGTGTGTGTCTATAGGTGAGTTTGTGTGTGTGTCTACAGGTGAGTGTGTGTGTGTCTATAGGTGAGCTGGGGTGTGTGTGTGTGTCTACAGGTGAGTGTGTGTGTCTACAAGTCAGTGTGTGTGTCTACAGGTGAGTTTGTGTGTGTGTCTACAGGTGAGTTTGTGTGTGTTTATAGGTGAGCTCGGGTGTGTGTGTGTGTCTACAGGTGAGTGTGTGTGTGTGTCTACAGATGTGTGTGTGTGTGACAACAGGTGAGTTCGTGTGTGTGTCTACAGGTGAGTGTGCGTATTTCTCTATCTACAGGTGAGTTATTGTGTCTACAGGTCAGTTCAGGTGTATCTACCTACAGGTGAGTTCGGGTGTGTGTGTGTCTACACGTGAGATTAAGTATGTCTGTGTCTGCAGGTGAGTTCGGGTGTGTCTACAAATAAGTTCGAGTGTGTGTACAGGTGAGTTCAGGTGTGTGGGGTTCTGGGAGAATGGGTCTATACGTGTGTACATGTATGTGACTAGGTGGGTGGTTATATAGTGTATATGGTGGTGGGTGTGCGGGGTGGAGGGGTGCCGGCCTTCATAGGTGCTCGCTAAGAGCACTTTCCCCAACAGTTAGTTAAGGCTATACGGGGGATCTTTGTCTTTGTTTGGGGATGGTGTGTCTCTTTGTGTCAGTCCATGTGTGCAGGTGTGCGTGTGCCTGTGCAGGTGTGTGGAGAGAGGAGTGGTGTGTATGCAGGTGTGGGTATCATGTTCCTACATGTGTTCAGGATGTTGTGTGTCTCTGTCTATTTGCCTCTGTCTATCAGCCCGTCTATTAATTTGTCTAGGGTTCTGTCTTTGTGCCTGAATGTGCCTTAACTGTCAATGTGTGTGTCTGTCTGGCCGTCTATCCGTCCATCTGTCTACCTACTTACCTACCCACCTATGTATCCTTCTTTCTGTTCATCAGGTTTGTCTACATGCGATTCTGTCCATCAATTGTCGATACATTTGTATGTTGAACTTCTTTCACACCGTACGTAGCCAACCGTGAATGTCTATCCCACACACACGCCAGTCCGTCTGTCTGCCTATCGGTCTGTGAGTACGTCTGTATGCCTTCCTACCTGTCCCGATCTCTGTGATTCTCTCTGCCCGCCTGTCTGCCTGTGGCTCTGTCTGTCTGCCTGCCCTCGTGGTCGCGTGGCTGCGGGTAGAGCGGCAGTGATGATGATGATAGTGATTGATGATGCCCTGCCCCTGTCTCGGGGCTTATAAACCCCGCGTGGTCGCTTCGGCAGCCGCTTGGAGGCGACATCAGGGGCCCAATTACCGCGGCCGTGACGGGCGGCCTCCCCCGGGGGGAGACGCAGTCGGGTGGGGGTTGGGGGTTGGGGATCAGAGCTCGTGGGGGAGACGCGACGTCAACCCGCATCTCGTCACTCACTCACTCACTCATTATCATCGTTTACCATCGGTCGTGATCTATCCACTGCTGGGTGAAAGCCCCCCGCCCCGCCCTCTGGCAACCTCCCCCACCCCACGTCATCTCTGGCGGTCTGGCCAGGCAACAATCCCGTCTGGTTCCTGCGAACGGGACGATTTAATCGCTCCATCTACGCGTGATGGGTTGTTTTTTATTCCCTCCTTTGGGCCGCGAGCATCGACCGCCACCACCACCGAACATCGCCACCCTGCCTGGCCGTGACGCCTCCTGCCCAAGGCCCACGTGCACCTCCTCTCAGCAGCCATTGTGACGGTGCCTCTACCGAGCACGTGGTCTACGACTCACGTGCTCGTGGTCCTGCTGCGATGACAAACACGCTAATAACCCAACACGTCCGTCGACGATAACAACAACACGATATCTATGGGATCTTTTGCCAGTATCCAAAATGATGAAAAAAAATAATAGGGGCCGTCCATAAATGACGTCACGCGATTTTGGACGATTTTTTTACCCCCTCCCCAGTCATACGGCGTCACAAAAAGTCAGACCCCCCCCCCTCAAATATGACGTCACAAAGCTCTGCCCCACCTCCCCCAAAAAAATAAAACATGCTTCAAATCGCTTTAAACTATTGTCATTGTAGTGCGTATTTAATGTGGCGCTGCACTCTGATGTTATAGGAGATAACATTTATTTAAAAAAAAAGTATATTTAAATAAGTAGAACGTGTTGTCTATATTAATTTAAAGTTGCGCATTTTGATGTGACGTCACATTTCTCACCCCCCCCCCCCCCTTCGTCACATATCGTTACAAATGTTTGACGTCATTTATGGACGGCCCCTAACATGTTCAAACACAAAGGCATCAAGTCTGCATTACACAACTACACATATTTGTGGCAAAGCATGCAAACAAACGTGCTCTGGTAATGTTATGCATCGTCTTTGAAACCGATTGGCCCACACCAGAGACAGCCTTCTTCATAGCCTTGTCTCACCACCAGTGGTAGAGCAGAGAACGCCACAAGGCGAACAGAAAAAAAACACAATGCAACACTGTGTGTGTAGTCTGGAAAGTACCCATGTGGGTACTTTCCAGACTGTACACCATGCAAAAATTATAAAAATAGACTTTTGTATTTTTGGGGGGGGGGGGGGGCGCAATAATGCATATTTTTTGCATGGCAAGTGAGCTGTGATGTCACATCTGTCATGTCACCCGTGCATGCGCAGTGCTGGGCGCGCAGCGCTACGAACCCGGCGAACCGAGTTTGATTCCTGCTCACGGCCACCGCCGGTGACGATTATTTGAACCGCTCCTGGGCCTCCCCTAGGTCGACTCAGCCTCAAACGAGTAACTGGTGTGGTGTGTGAACATCGCCACTGGGGAGACAAAGGCGGCCGGGCGTGGTGAATCCAAGTCCCGGGCGAAGCCGGGTAGTAAAGCTAGTCTTCTATATAAAGTAGGCGACGTTTCGGGTAGTGGCTTTTCTTCACAGCGCACGGATGTATGTTGAACTTCTTTCGCACGGTACGTAGCTAGCCACGCTAATCGGAGGTGCGGCGAAAGGACAACAAACTAAACACAAAAATGCAGGATGAGTTTTCAATCCATGTTTAAAAGTGAAGGGGGGGGGAGGGGGTTGGTTTATTTTTATTCGATTGAGCAATTAAAGTTGAGAGATTCTGGGAACCGTGGCGACCCGCGGGGTGGTGGGATGAGATTTTAGCGAGAGAGAGAAAACAATTGACACATCAAGTAGTCGATCGTTCCTTCATTTACTGGATTTTATTTCTCCAACTCTTTCGCCACGAGACGCGAAGGACCACGTGGTCGCCTAACTCGAAGAGCAATCCCGAGAGAAATGTGCACGGACACACGTAAACACAGGCAAAGACGTCCCGTTCTAGCTTTACAGGAGGAGTCCCCAACCTCCGGGCCGCGGATCGGGACCGGTCCGTGGCCTGTTAGGAACTGGGCCGCACAGCAGCAGGAGGTGAGAGCGACGAGTCCGAAAAGGGGGAAAGACCCAATCATGACCCCCACCCCCCACCCCAGTCATTGAAAAAAATTGTCTTCCACGAAACCGGTCCCTGGTGCTAAAAAGGTTGGGGACCGCTGATGTACAGGATCGTTGGGGCAAGTGCTGTTCGCGAGTAGCACCTGTTATAGCCGGTACGGCACACGATGGAGAGGGGTGGGTGGCCAGCACCACGCCCGGCCGCCTTTGTCTCCCCAGTGCTGATGCTGTTTACACATCGCACCAGGCTCTCGTTTTGAGTCGAGCGAGAGGAGGACCAGGCCCGGTTCAGATACTCTATTCATCACCGAAGTTGGCCGTAAACGGGAATCGAACTCAGGTCGCTGGGTTCGTAGTGCAGTGCGTTAACCCCTTCGCCACCGCTCGCCTACAAAAAAACGCACGCGTGCTGCAACACCCACACGGCAGTGTTCTAACACGCGTTCTAACAGAGCTGGAGCTTAAATTTTGTCACTTGTTGTAACATGTGTTTAAAAAAAAAAAACATGTTTAAAAGTACATCGTCGGCCAATCAGGGTTGGTGGTCTCGACACGGCTGAGTGCAGTGTCCCATTGCCAAGTGGTGGGCACATGCCTTCATCGATGTGCTTCATCGCTCGACTTAATTGCATGTTTTAGCTTCCATGATTGTGGTAACCCCCCCCCCAACCCGTCACCCCCACCAGGTGACTCTTGCGAACGAGACTCCTACCCTGGTCTCTTTGGGGCCGTCCATAAATGACGTCACGAGATTTTGGACGATTTTTGACCACCCCCCCCCCCCCCCTTCGTCACACGGTGTTACAAAAAGTCAGACCCCCCCCCCCCTCAAATATGACGTCACAAAGCTCTGCCCATGTTGATGTGACGTCACATTTCTCAACCCCCCCCCCCCCCGTCGTCACAAATGCCTGCCCCCCCCCCAGGTGCGTGACGTCATTTATGGACGGCCCCTTAAACCTTTTCCCGTTCGAAGACGTCTGCAAATTGCAGGCTGTGGGTGTCCCCGTTCACCTGCTGAACTCCGGAACGTGCTAGCGGCTCGGGCAGTAATTTTCTTTGGAGAGGCCTAGCAGCGCCCGTTGTTTATAAAGACATTGTTACTCACCGCAGAGAACCGCAGAGACACGACCGCACTCTACGATGGCTGGCGCCAAACTGTGCCACGCACACTGTCGCATGGCCTTGTGGGAGCCCCGGTACCGGAAAAGTTACTTTACTTTAAGTTTTCCTACCGGTTTCCATTTGATGATGTAAACGAACGTCATCGGGACGGGAAAGGGGTAAGAGTCCTCGCCCGGTCACACAATCAACTTGACACTTGACCTGTGCCGTGTTATCATCCATTGAGCAAGGCCGACATTGCCACAGCTCTGGGTGGTGATGATGGCATGTACGTTGATCTTCTTTCGCACCGTACGTAGCCAACCGTGCTACTTCGGAGGTGTGGGGGAAGGACAGCTAAAAAAACTAAAAGCAGTTCGAAGGACGTGAGTTTGTCAATGCAGCCGATTTAAAAGTGCACAGCTCCAGTGGTTTCCGACATAAGAGCGATCCAGATGGCCGCAGAAGCACATCTGAAAGTGCCACGCGATGCGGCGACCGCCGCCTTTGTTTGATGGCCAGCCAAAAGCCGCTGCTGCGAGGACGAGCGGAGTTCGCGTGATTATGGTTCATGGTCCTTGACGAGATGACCAGCGAGCTATTGCGGTTGATTAGTGGCAAGCACTTTGTGCGAAATGTGTGCGAGGATAGATTCGGCCCATCATCATCCCTCCAGGGTCGATAAAACAGCGGTTGTCCTGCGGATAGACCCTCCCCCCCTGGGGCCACGTGAATGTGGAATTCCCACCACGGGCTCTGCAAGGGGCTGCAGAGAGGAGAATGAGCACCGATGCCTCGATGCTCGCTCGGGAGCAGCGACAGATCGCTCGTTGGGACCAGGACAATCACCGCGAGAGCGACGAGCTGCTGTCGGGTCTACGAGCTCCATCCCGCATGAAGTCCCGCGATGGCCCAGCAGGCTGGTTCAGAGTTCACCGTTCTGGCGTCTCCCCAGTCTTGGGGAGCTGAACGTAAACACACAAAAAATAACCGCTCCCCCCCCCCCGGTTCCAGTGTAACGAGAGATTCAAGAAATGGTCGATCGTCGCGCACGAACGACGCTCGTACGCGCACACCAGTAGCTTGACGCACGCGAACACGCATCAAACACGACACTCGCACACTCATGGCTTACACACTACGCAGACGTGTCAAACACGCATCAAACACGACACTTGCACGCGCACACTCATGGCTTACATGTGCGAACATGTGTCAAAACACGCATCAAACACGACACTTCGCACGCACACACTCATGGCTTACACGCATGCGAACATGTGTCAAACACGCATCAAACACGACACTCGCACGCGCACTCATGGCTTACACGCATGCGAACATGTGTCAAACACGCATCAAACACGACACTCGCACGCGCACACTCAGGGCTTACACGCATGCGAACATGTGTCAAACACGCATCAAACACGACACCCGCAAGCGCGCACTCATGGCTTACACACACGCGAACATGTGTCAAACACGCATCAAACACGACACGCGCACGCGCACACTCATGGCTTACACGCGCGAACATGTGTCAAACACGCATCAAACACGACACTCGCACGCGCACTCATGGCTTACACGCATGCGAACATGTGTCAAACACGCATCAAACATGACACTCGCACGCGCTCATGGCTTACACGCATGCGAACATGTGTCAAACACGCATCAAACACGACACTCGCACGCGCACTCATGGCTTACACGCATGCGAACATGTGTCAAACACGCATCAAACACGACACTCGCACACGCACTCATGGCTTACACGCATGCGAACATGTGTCAAACACGCATCAAACACGACACTCGCACGCGCTCATGGCTTACACGCATGCGAACATGTGTCAAACACGCATCAAACACGACACTCGCACGCGCACACTCATGGCTTACACACACGGAAACATCAGCAGCAGCAGTGGCCGTTCGCCATACCCATTCCCCATTTTTACAAAGGGACCATCCATGCCGAGCGAGCGTAGTGCCGGCACGGTGCCAGCACGGTGCCCGCACGTTTCCAGCAGTTTGGGTGAGGGTTTTTTTTCCCCCTTCTCCTTTTCCACTGGGACCTGTTTGCCGAGCCGAGCCGGAGCCAAACGGTGACGGCACAAGACGCGGTCTCGGCTCGTCTGCTTACGCGTGGCGTCTTTGTGCACGTGGCGACGACTTCAACATATCGCTTGCGCCAGGCTAGGTGCACCTTGCGACCCAAGTGCAAACGTAATTGCTCGTCTCTTTAGTTGCTCTGCGTAACGAACGTCAAACGCAGGCGAAGCAAACTGGCGCGCAGCTATAACCCCCCCGCTCATCCTCCTTCGCGTCGTTCGCCATCATCATCGTGGTGACGCAGGGTCAAGATAAAAGCCTTCGAGCTCGTCGCGACTGACGTCGAGCTGCAGGCCGTTGCACGTCACCGTGTGCATTTTTTTTACAACTAAAATCACCCCTTAAATTCCCCACTTGCTATTACACACAGCAAGCAAGCATCCCGCCTCTACCGGCAGAATGATACGCAGGGACGGCTGCCGCTGGCGGGTGGCCCCGAGGCTGGATCGCAGAGCAAATATCGAACCCTGCTGACTGGCAGACCGATGCCACTGGGGGTGTTCTGATGTTAGTGAGTGAACCCCCAGCAGGTGGCCAGGTTACATCAGTGTCTGCTGCTCCTCAATCGTAGACTCCATCTCCGCTTTGTCGGGACTGAGAGTCTGACCTGCGTGTGCGTGCGTGCGTGTGCTCACGTGCGTGTGCGTACGTGCGTGTGTGTGCGTGCGTGTGTGTACGTGCGTGCGTGTGTGTGTACGTGCGTGTGTGTGCGTGCGTGTGTGTACGTGCGTGTGTGTGCGTGCGTGTACGTGCGTGTGTGTACGTGCGTGCGTGTGTGTGTACGTGCGTGCGTGTGTGTGTACGTGCGTGTGTGTGCGTGCGTGTGTGTACGTGCGTGTGTGCGTGCGTGTACGTGCGTGTGTGTGTGTGTACGTGCGTGTGTGTGTACGTGCGTGTGTGTGCGTGCGTGTGTGTACGTGTGTGTGTGTGCGTGTACGTGCGTGTGTGTGCGTGTGTGTGTGTACGTGCGTGTGTGTGCGTGTGTGTGCGTGTGTGTACGTGCGTGCGTGTACGTGCGTGCGTGTGCGTGTGTGTGCGTGCGTGTACGTGCGTGTGTGTACGTGCGTGTGTGTGTGTACGTGCGTGTGTGTACGTGCGTGTGTGTACGTGCGTGTGTGTGCGTACGTGCGTGTGTGTACGTGCGTGTGTGTGCGTGCGTGTACGTGCGTGTGTGTACGTGCGTGTGTGTGTGTACGTGCGTGTGTGTACGTGCGTGTGTGTACGTGCGTGTGTGTACGTGCGTGTGTGCACGTGCGTGTGTGTGCGTACGTGCGTGTGTGTGCGTACGTGCGTGTGTGTGCGTGCGTGTGTGGGGAGGGGGTTGAGGTGGTGGCAGGGAGACAACAAGCACAGTGTCACTCTGACAGTCTGCCTCTGCTCAGAGACGGCGAGTGGCCGTGCTTGGGCCGTACCGGCCAGGGGGAGCCACGGTGGCTAGGAGATGTTGACTACCTCGCCTGGTAAACAGGAGGTCGTGGGTTCGATCCCGACCCTGACCCTTTTATATTTGGAATGTGTGTTCGCCCCGTGGTTGTGTGGATTTGTCTATGGGTCCTCCGGTTTTTCCCTCCACATTTAGAATCAACGTGCGCTCAGAGTATTTGGCTGCTGCCATACATTCACACGTGATAAGCCACTTCGTTGGGATATCATTTGTGGGCAGGTCGCTTCTGATAAAGAGCTACACAGCTCAGTGGGGCTTCGCTGGTAAAATAAAACATCGTTTTAGCGGTCTCGCCTCTGCCCTGTCCATCCGCATGGAGGAAGCAGCAAAGAGTTCACGAGCTTGATGCCCAATGTCGAAGTTCTGCTGCCGGCCACGACAAGAGGGCTTCATCGTAGACAGAGTTCGCGTCGTTTGGCCGTTCCTCCTCCTCTGAAGCAGTGCAGCCTACAGTGGCTTTACTATGCGGTCTCTATTGGTCTAGATGTACCGCACCTCCGATTAGCGCGGTTGGCTACTTGCGGTGCGAAAGAAGTTCAACGTGCATATACACCATGCATCTCTACGAGTCTCTATGTGTCTGAAAATGAAATTATTTTACCAGGCAAGGCCCCACTGAGCTAAGTAGCGCTTTTTCAGAAGCAACCTGGACACAATTAATACCCTAACAAAGTGGCTTACGTGGAAATGTATGCAGCGAAATACTCGAAACGCGTGACATCGATTCTGAATGTGGAGGGAAAAACTGGAGAATCCAGAGAAAAATCCATGCGACCACGGGGCGGGAGAACATGCAAACTCCAAATATACAAGCGTCAGGGTCGTAATCGAACCCTCGACCTCCTGTAGACCAGGCGAGGTAGTTAACGTCTCACCAACGTGCCACCGCACTCAATTGGAATCGCGCAGCGGCAGCAGCAGCAGCGATCATTGCCCCAGCTGCGAAAACTTGGCACGACCCTCCTGGAAACGAGTCGCGAGACACGGCCAAACTGTCCTGGGTAAACTAGCAAAATCTTAACAATAAAAATAATTCTTATTTCAACATTAGCACCCTGAACCTCCTGCATACCAGGCGAGGGAAATTACATTTCGCCACCGTGGCATACGTCCGTCCGGAGCGCGTGACCGCGGCGACGCTTACCGTCCGCCTCCGTGCCGGCATCGGCCGCATGAGGAGGAGGTGGTGGAGGAGCCGGGATGGGCGGCGCCGGCGGCTGGCGCGGCAGCTGGAGGAGACGCGGCCCGGTGAGGCCGATGAGCAGCGAGCCGAGCGGCGCCGTCAGCAGGATGGAGAGGAAGGCGGCCGTCAGGATCTGCAGCCCCCACGCCTGCGCTCCGGTGTCGCCGCGGAGACGCGCCACGTCCAGCGCCACCGAGCCTATTGCAGCCTGACGGGGCCGGTGGGCGTGGTGGGCACGGTGGACTGGGTGAGTATGATGGGCACGGTGGATATGGTGAGTTTGGTGGGTATGGTGGACTGGGTGAGTATGGTGGGCACGGTGGATATGGTGAGCACGGTGAGTTTGGTGGGTATGGTGGACTGGGTGAGTATGGTGGGTACGGTGGATATGGTGAGTTTGGTGGGTATGGTGGACTGGGTGAGTATGGTGGGCACGGTGAGTTTGGTGGGTATGGTGGACTGGGTGAGTATGGTGGGTACAGTGAGTTTGGTGGGCACGGTCAATGGCAGAGCCAGGATTTTCAGGTGGGGGGGGGGCGACCCCTCCAGGAATGAAAAATGATAGAGGAGTTGTTAGTAAGTAAGGACTTGCGGCGATGGCGAGGGTCGAATTCGAACCGCGTTGTGTGATCGGTATCGCGCTCACTGAAGGTGTTTGCCTTCAGGGAATCCGTGTACTGTATAGGCAACTGCGCACAATTCTGTGAGTCACTTATAACTGCTTTGCCATTACTTATTGCCAATTATGGACTCTATTATCCTATCATCTCATAGAGTTATCCTATCATCTCATAGAGTTCCCGGCACGTAATAATATGCTAAACAGTGGCAGTGGGGGTCGCAAAATGCCCATTTATTATTAATAAACCCCAATGATCCGATCCAAATTAGGGATTTCGATCGGATCAATGGGGGGCACGTGCCATCCCACCCCCCCCCCCCCCCACTTGCTCTGCCAGTGGGCACGATGTGCACGGTGGGAGAGGCACAGAGCACTGTGATGAGGCTGGTGGGACACGGCTATATAGAGGAAGCTAACGCCTGTGATAACGCTCGTACACCTCTGTGATAAAACAACTGTCAAAACTCGCACCTACACCACCACACTGCCACCTACACCACCGCACTAACACACCTACACCACCGCACTAACACACCTACACCACCGCACTAACACACCTACACCACCACATGAACACTGCCACCTACAACACTGCTCCACCGCACTCACACCGTATTGGGATCTGCATGCGTGTGCGTCCGTAAACGTGTGTGTGTATATTGTTATATTATTATATATGTGCATGTAGTGGTTAGCGCGCTGCGCTACGAACCCGGCTACCCGGGTTGGATTCCCGCCCACAGCCACCAACACCGGTGATGATTATCTGAACGGGTCCTGGGCCTCCCCTAAGTCGACTCAGCCTCAAATGAGTACCTGGTGCGGTGTGTAAACTTCACCACTGGGGAGACAAAGGCGGTCGGGCGTGGTGCTGGCCACCCAACCCCTCGTGTACCGTTCCAGCCTTCATAGGTGCTCGCTAACAGCACTTGCCCCTACATTCTGTTAAGGCTATACGGGGGATCTTTGTTTGTGTATATGTATGTGAGCATATGTGTGCGCGTGTATGTGCGTGTGCGTGGGTCTCGCCTGTACGGTGGCCTTGGGCAGCCACGCGAGCGACACGAAGAGCTTCTCCCGGACGTTGAGGCCGGCGCAGCCGACGGCCCCGAACGTGACGAGGAGGCGCATGAGCAGCCCCACCAGCAGCACCCCCACACATAGCCCTGCTCACCGCCACCAGCACCGTCATCACCGCACACAGCAGCAGATCATCAGCATCAGCACCATCATCACCCAGAAGCGCCTCCCCGGGCCCCGAGAGACGCCCCTCAGGAGGGAGCGGTGCGGGCGGTGCCCACAGTAGTGGTGGGGTGTGGTGGCGCTGGCCGTGGTGACCTCTGGAGCTCGCGAACTGCGTCACCACCTGTGGTGTGGGGCTCCAGCACGGAGAGGGAAACCTCGGCGCCGATCAGGGAGAAGAGCAGAGGCTGGAACACTCCGATCCACACGGCCTTCACCGCCTCCGCCACAGCCTCCTGCACACGGTACACACACGGTGCGCACGATTCACACGATACACACACGGTGCGCACGATACACACACGGTGCGCACGATACACACACGGTGCGCACGATACACACACGGTGCGCACGATACACACACGGTGCGCACGATACACACACGGTGCACACGATACACACACGGTGCACACGATACACACACGGTGCGCACGATACACACACGGTGCACACGATACACACACGGTGCACACGATACACACACGGTGCACACGATACACACACGGTGCACACGATACACACACGGTGCGCACGATACACACGATACACACACGGTGCACACGATACACACACGGTGCACACGATACACACGATACACACACGGTGCACACGATACACACACGGTGCACACGATACACACACGGTGCGCACGATACACACACGGTGCGCACGATACACACACGGTGCACACGATACACACACGATACACACGATACACACACGGTGCGCACGATACACACACGGTGCACACGATACACACACGGTGCGCACGATACACACACGGTGCACACGATACACACACGGTGCGCACGATACACACGATACACACACGGTGCACACGATACACACACGGTGCACACGATACACACACGGTGCACACGATACACACACGGTGCGCACGATACACACGATACACACACGGTGCACACGATACACACACGGTGCGCACGATACACACACGGTGCACACGATACACACACGGTGCGCACGATACACACGATACACACACAGTGCGCACGATACACACACGGTGCACACGATACACACACGGTGCACACGATACACACGATACACACACGGTGCACACGATACACACACGGTGCACACGATACACACACGGTGCACACGATACACACGATACACACACGGTGCGCACGATACACACACGGTGCACACGATACACACACGGTGCGCACGATACACACACGGTGCACACGATACACACACGGTGCGCACGATACACACGATACACACACGGTGCGCACGATACACACACGGTGCACACGATACACACACGGTGCACACGATACACACGATACACACACGGTGCACACGATACACACACGGTGCGCACGATACACACACGGTGCGCACGATACACACACGGTGCGCACGATACACACACGGTGCGCACGATACACACACGGTGCGCACGATACACACACGGTGCGCACGATACACACACGGTGCGCACGATACACACACGGTGCGCACGATACACACACGGTGCGCATAATACACACACGGTGCACACGATACACACACGGTGCACACGATACACACGATACACACACGGTGCGCACGATACACACACGGTGCACACGATACACACGATACACACACGGTGCGCACGATACACACACGGTGCACACGATACACACGATACACACACGGTGCACACGATACACACACGGTGCGCACGATACACACACGGTGCACACGATACACACACGGTGCACACGATACACACGATACACACAACCTTCACTCACGCATCTACCATGTCATCCACCCACTCACTCACCCACTCGCTAACCACACGACACATACACACGCACGATACGTGCTCACATACACGATACGCACACGTGACACGCGCACACACACGACACGCTCACAGACGACACACATGTGGCACGCACACGACACACGCACTCACGTTGGTGTCTCCCCATCCCCGAGCGGCCACGAAGGGCACCATGAGGCAGCAGAGGCCGCCGGCCCCAGGGAAGCCCAGGGCCTCGCTACCAAATATGGCCAGGACCCCCGTGGCCAGCAGCAGGGTCGTCCTCCACGCCACCACGTGCGCCTGTCGAAAGTCGCACGCACGCGTCGACAGGCAGATATTAACCCTTTCCCGTTACGATGACGAACGAATACAATGACGTTTTTCTTCCCATTGCGTTCGGATGACGGATGGGGAGGGGCGGGTGGATAGGGGGGTAGCGGTGGGTGGAGGGGGGCAGTGAGTGGGAGGTTCGGGGTGGGGGGGGTGGGAAGGAGGGGTGGCGCTAATTAATTGCAGACGCTGAGAACAGGCACCTGCAAGCACTAGGATTCTTCGTGTGTGTGTGTTGCGTTAAGTGTTATATTTGCTGTTTTATGACTTTAAAAAAGTTGTGGCATAAGTGGAACATTGTCAACATGGGAGTCAATGGGAAAACGATGATCGTTCAACGACTTTTTCGCTTGCCGAGCAATTATCAAGGAACTTACGTCGCTCGTGAAGCGAGACCACGCCTGTATTACATTCATGGGGAGAAATGTCGTTTTACAGGCGGATTGGGCCGCCCTGTTTTTTTTTTAACGTTCTCCAACGAGTTCACTCCGTCCGTAACGTGGGATACCATGGTAACTCGCAGGAGGGACGACGCGATACGAACCGACACCCTCGTGCAAAGCCGTACTTACTTTTCTTATGCTACGTATTCGTTGCGCACGGTTCAAATTTACTGTGCTCAGTCGGTGTTAGCTGCTGAGGTCGTGACGTGTGGCGGGTTTGCTCCGTGCCCCCCCCCCCTGTGCCGTTCCCGTTCAATTGGAACGGTGACCTGACGCCTACTTTATTGAGGGCGATATTGGCACGCGTGAAATAAAGATCGATTGATTGATCGAAAGACTCACCCTGGAGAAAACTGGGCACACTGAGCAAAAAGGTAAATACGCACGGTTGGCTACGTACGGTGCGAAAAGATTTCGGCACCGTACACCCGATGAAGCTGGTTGTAATCACCAGCGAGACGTCATACTCGGATTGTCAATGTTGTGGGTTTCTCTCCGACACAACGGTGTGTTGTACTAGTGTAGTGGGTTCTACGGTGACACACACAATAACTTGGAGGCAACATGATTATTACAACACCCCAACAGGGTAACTGCATGAACGTACACTTGGTTAACTATACCACAATGGGGTAGCTACATAACCGGGTCAGTCAGTAACACACTGCCTGACCCATGATGCCAAGCGTAAAGACCGAAGACCGAGGATCGAAGAGACGCAGCACCCACGGGTTCCATTTCAACAGACAGCCCCGATCGGCTCTCGGGACCTCCCTTTTATGCCTCTGAGCGTGGCCTGGCTCCACCCTCGGCCACGCCCCCTTCTAGATCCTACCAGAAGGTTCTGGGCCTCATGTCACGTGTCCCTCTCGCCACCGCTTGCCCCCCCCCCTCGCTACCCTCTCCTGGTCACGTGCCCTCTCTCGGGCTCGCTTGCATGCCATACCCACTCTGGTGCCAGAGCGAGGATCGAGACATGCAGTTCCACTCTTGAGACCGTAGGTGGCGTTAAACGCCACAGTGACTCCATTTACGTCGCTACACTCGTAACAAATTGGTATGTTTTGTTGAAACGACAAACCTTACTAATTGGCCGTGTCGAGTGGTGGTGGATTAACGACGCATTTATATTTACGCGGTCTAACCCAAAATAACTGTGAATACATACATTAGCTCCGTCCGTCCGGGTGTGACGCAGCGGGAAGCGGGTCACGGTAAGCCCTGCAGACATGAAGACGACACGAACCGAGCCTCTGGCGTGCCCTCACTTACTTCGGTAGAGACTCGCGCCCGACAGGAGAAACCAGGACGCGCGCTCGCGAAATCGCCACTTTCCCTAAATCTTTGTGATTTCCCAAAAAAATGAAGATCTTTTAATCCCTAATCCCTTCCCCCTCTTCCTTCTTCCCTCCCCCTCCTGACTCCCATCTTTCTCCCCGTTCCCTATACAGTAGTCCCTCGGTTAACGTCTTTGAATCCATTCGTCGAATATATAAATAATTACATGTAAAAAAAGCAGTCGAGGTCTAAACACTCATAAATGAGCGTCACCGATTGGCTGAGGCAAATGCTCAGCCCCACTCACAGGCGCTCGGATTGGAAGAAATTGGCGGCACGCATTCATAAGGTGAACACGTTACCATTAATCAAAATGTTAACGTCAGTCGAAACCGTGGGATCCTATGGGAGGCGAAACATTAACCGCAAAAAACGTTAACCGGTGTCACTGTTAACCGAGGGACCACTGCACACCCCCCTCCTTAGTTAAGTTATTCCTCCCTAATCACCCCTCCGCTATATAAAAGTACACGTTCGCGTCCGCAGACAGGGCGCCACAGTGGCTAGGAGATGTTAACTACCTCGCCAAGTGTACAGGAGGTCGTGGGTTCGATCCAGACCCTGACACTGCCTGTTGTATATTTGGAGTCAGCGTGTCCATCTCTCTCGCCCCGTGGTGGTCTCGTGAATTTTTTCTCCGGGCCCTCCAGTTTTTCCCCTCCGACGTCACGCGTTTACGAGTATTTGGCTGCTGCTAATGCGTTGAGCTATCGTTTGTGATAGCCAGGTAGCTTCTGGAAAAAAAGTACACAGCTCAGTGGGCCTTCCCTTGTAAAATACAAAAATTTTGTTTAGTGAGTGAGCCCAACTTTCCCCCTCCTCCTCCCTTTCTGTTATTTTTACAGGAGCACAGATTTGGGATTTTTGTTTGTACCCGCAGAGTCTGTGCCCCTCCTCGCAACGACACGGGGTCTATTGCTCTGTTATCAGGCTCTTGTTGAAATACACTGAAAAACAGACTTCCCCAATTATCCCCTCCCCATTTAAAGTTCCATCCTCTCCCCACCCGACGCGACATCCCCACGTGGTTGGTTGAGGCAGCGAGCCGCTTCCCCCCCCCACCACTAATCCCCCCCCCACCACTAATCCCCCCCCCCACCACTAATCCCCACCACTAAGCCCCCCCACCACCGACCCCCACCGACCCCCACCCCATCTTTAAGATGCTTCAGTAGCGACTGTCCTCCTGGTGCTGTGACACAGGGGCTCAACTATAGGGTTTGCATCGTCATGCGACGCATAGGGGCCCAGTCGGCCACAGGGGGGGGGGGCTGAATCAACAGATAAGCAAGTAAAAAAATGTAAGAAAATTTTATTTAAAATAAAAATTCTTAATAAAAAAACTACCTGCGGTCTACCACGGACCAAGCCCGATTAATGTATCCGACTATCGCATACCTGTAAACCCACACGGTTTAGCACGTATTCGTGTGAAGGGAAACTGAGTTGTCAGGTCCATACGGCGTACAGCCGTTTCAATGGGGGCACATTGTTATTGTCTATTTGTTTGTGTTTCTCCCTTGCGATGGGATTTTGTAGGACGAACGTTGAGATTTATAAGGGGCACGGGGTGACCAATAAGGTCTGAATTGGTCTGTAACAAGGTAGGGCACTGATCAGGGGTTGAGAGGTGTGTGAATTGGTCTGTAATAAGGTAGGGCACTGATAAGGGGTTGACAGGTTTGCTATCGTATCAACAGAGCAGAAAGTTGCGCGATCCACCTGCTTTGAAGAAACCCTACACCAATGGGTCGGCATGAGAAGCAAGACGCACGATAACTTGTGAGAATTGTAACCTTTAAATATTTATATTAATACTGTCACTGTGAAGCTGTCGTCCTCTAAACCCAATACACGGTGCAACTTTAATAAAATAGTTATAGCCTATGTATTATTTCCCACGGGTTAAAAACCATCTGTAGCTATTTCAGTAAAAGTGAGTGGGGAGAAGGGAGTGCCGCTCACAGCGTGAATCTCGCAAAGCCTCCCCGCTGAAATCGGTCGTCGCGCCGCTGCTGTGACGTCTGGTTACGTGAACTGTGCGGCACACCTGTACCGTGCTCGCGTTTTGTTAAAATAAAATACTTCAAAATGAGGGGGGGGTTGCTGCGGCTGGCCTTGCCGGCCTGGGCGATGGAAGTTCACTCGCCTGGTCTGGGCTCGGGAAGAACCGGAGGACGAGGCCCAGAGCCAGGCCCGAGAAGACCCCCATCACGATTTCCAGCGGCCCACGCAGCACCGTGAAGAGCAGCGAGCCTGCGGCGACGCGGCACCTCCGGTTAGCGCGGTTGGCTACGTACGGTGCAAAAGAAGTTCAGCATACGTGCATACAAAGGTTCCCCGGGTAGCCCACTCGAGTTGCGAGGGGCAAGTGCAGTTGGCGAGGAACGGCAGCGCCGCCTATGGAAGGCCGGCGTGGCGCACGAGTGGGCCACGCCCAGGCCGCCTTTGTCTCTCCCCAAGTGCTCGTGTTTTCTTACGCACCGCACCAAGCGTGCTCATTGAAGGCCGAGTCGGCAGTAGGGGGGAGGGACCAGGACCGGTTCAGATATTACGCCATTCACAGTGGCCATTAGCAGGAATCGAACTTGGGTCGCCGGGTTTATAGCAATGTGCGCCGACTGCTGTGCTACCGCTCCACACAGACACAAGAGAACAAAGAGACAAAGATCCCCCATATAGCTTTAACAGAGTGTAGGAGAAAGTGCCGTTAGCGAGTACCTATGAAGGCTGCTACGGCAACGAACGGGTGGGTGGCTAACACGATACCTGCCACCTTTGTCTCTCCAGTGGCGATGGTTACACATCGCACCAGGTACTTATTTGAGGCCGAGTCGACCTAGGGGAGACCCAGGACTGGTTCAGATAATCGTGACTGGTGTTGGCCGTGAGCGGGAATCGAACTTAGGTCGCCGGGTTCGTAGCGCCAAACCGCTACACTACCGCTCCCGACGACACACAGATAACAATATCCTCCGATTGGCATGGTTGGCTATGTACGGTGTGAAAGAAGTTCAACATACATACATACAACCGCCATTCATCACTAAGTGGAAGTGACGTCACCACGGCGCTTGTGTCAGGCTACATGCACTTTAAGGCCAAGCGAAGCGTCGAACGCCCGCTCGCAGGAGGTCACGGAACAGACCCAGGTGCCATGGGTTGAGTGACAAAGATGACTGGCAGATGCACTACCTCTGCCCCCTACTGTGCCACACAGACACACATTACAAAGACAAAAATCCCCCATAGAGCCTAAACAGACTGTTGGTGGCAAGTGCTGTTAGCAAGCACCTATAAAGGCCGGCACAGCACACAAGGGGGTGGGAGCAGAGCACCACGCCCAGCCGACTTTGTCTCCCCTGTGGCGATGTTTACACACCGCACCTGGTGTTGGTGGCCGTGAGGAAATCGAACGCGGGTCCCCAAGTTCGTAGCGCAGTGCGCTCATCACTACGCCACCGCTCACAGATACACACACATATAACAGATACACAGATACACAGACACACACAGACCGGTGGAGAAGGCGCTGGAGAGGCAGGCGTTGAAGCCCGTAATGGCGAGAACGTCGTCCACGCTGCCAGCAGCGAGTAGCAGCGTGGGGATGCCCTGCTCCGTGCCCAGGCCTCGCTCCTGCAGAGCCAGCATGGAGGGCACCACCACGGCCGGGGACACTGCGCCCAGCACGCAGCTGTGTCGTGGAGGACACATACACACACACATACACACACATACACACACACGGGGCATGGAGGGCACATACACACATACACACAAACATACACATACACACATACACAACAACAACAACAACCGCCATTCGCCACTAAGTGGCGGTGACGTCACCACGATGCTTGTGCCAGGCCAAGTGCACCTTGAGGCCACGTGAAGTGTCGAAAGCCCGCTGGCAGGAGGTCACGGGGCAGACCCAGGTGCCACGGGTCGACTGACCGAGATGACCGAGATGACTGGCTGATGCACCACCTGTGCCCCCTACTGTGCCAACTTGCTGTGCTTTAGCCACCCGGCGCTCCGCTCGTTGTTGTGAGCGTCGCTCCTCCGCCCTCCGTTGTTGTTGGAGGGCGACTGCCTCCAACTGCCCAGTAGCGTCCTTCACGAGCCTCCTCCACTGAGGCCGATCTTGACACCGCTGGTACCAGTCATCGGCAAGTCCACTCAGCTCCACGTCCTCCTGTACCACATCACTCCATCTCTTCTCCAGCCCGTGCCGCGCCCGTCTAGCCCCCTCGATCCGGCCGAACAAAAGCTGTTTAGGCATGCGGTGGCTGGGCATGCGGGCTACATGACCCAGCCAACGCAGCCTTGCCTGCCGGAGGAGCTCACTGATGGGACTTTGCCCAGATCTTTCAAGGATTTGTGAGCTCCTCACACAATCCAGCCTGGTTAAACCCAGGATGGATCGTAGGCAGGCCAGCCTAAATGTTTCCAACCGGCGAAGATGCTCCACCAGGGGGGTCCACGTCTCGCAAGCGTAGAGAAGGGAGGGAATGACCGTGGCCGAGAAGACCTGAAGCTTCGTGCGGAGCGACAGACCAGGTAGCTTCCACACAGCGTTACGCAACCGATGAAAAGATATTGCCGCTCGACTGATTCGGAGTGAGACCTCTGCTGATAGACTGGAGCCGGTCATAAGCACACTGCCCAGGTATGGGAAACTCTCCACTCTCTCCACAATATAATACACACACACATACACACACACACAATTGAATGGAGGGCACCACCATGGCAGGGGACACCTGCAGTGTGGTGAATAAGTGGGTGAGTGAGTGGGTGGGTGGATGATTGAGTGGGTGAATGGGTGGGTGAGTGGATAAGTGAGTGGGTGAGTAGGTCAATGGGTGGGTGAGTGGGTAAGTTAATGGATGAGTAAGTGAGTGGGTGAATAGGTGGGTGAGTGGGTGAGTTAATGGATGAGTGTGTGGGTGAATGGGTGGGTGAGTGAGTGGGTGAGTGAATGGGAGAATGGGTGGGTAAGTTAATGGATGAGTGAGTTGGTGAGTTGATAAGTTGGTGGATGAGTGGGTGGGCGAGTGTGTTCCTGTGACTTGCAGCGTGGTGGTGGTTGAAGGAAGTGTGGTGGATGAGATGACACAGTCAGTGTCTGGTCGCCCGAGTCCTCAACCCCAGGGAGAGCAATCAATGAGTGAAGCTCATGAGAACAGTAACCACGGTAGTAGAAGCAGTAGTAACAGAAGAGTGATAAGGAGGCACCTGACCGCCGGTGAGTGAATCAGCGAGTTCCGGATCATCATTTCAACTTCGATAAAGGTTCATTATTTGGAGTGGCTCATCGCTCTCTCTACACTTGAGCTGCGATGCCGCCGATTCGCCGGTGGGTCACCTACCCCAGCATGAACCCCCACACCCAGGGCAGGTGGAGGAGGAAGTGAGCGACCACCCCGACGGAGACCGCCTCCACCAGGCAGGGCAGCACGGAGAGGCGCACGCACACGCCCTTGAGCCTCCTCAGAGCCTGCGGCAACACGCAGGCGAAGTTCCTCCATGTGGCATTTTTACAGGCTGTCGGGGAAAGTGCTGTTAGCGAGTGTGTGCAGTGTGCGAGCGGTAGGGTAGCGGTTAGCGCGCTGCGCTACGAACCCGGAAACCCGAGTTCGATTCCCGCTCACGGCCAAGATCAGTGACCATTATCTGAACCGGTCCTGAGTCTCCCCTAGGTCGACTCAGCCTCAAATGAGTACCTGGTGCAAACATCGCCACTGGGGAGACAACGACGGCCGGCCGTGGTGCTGGCCACCCACCCCCTCGTGTGCCGTGGCGGCCTTCATAAGTGCTCGCTAACAGCACTTGCCCCAACAGTCTGTTAAGGCTATGCGGGCTATCTTTGTCTTTGTGTGTGCTCGTGAACGTGTGCCAGTGTGCGAGTGCTCATGAGCGTGTGCCAGCGTGCGAGTGTGTGCGAGTGAGCATGTGCCAGTGTGTGTGTGTATGTGTGTGCTCGCTAGTATGTGCCAGTGGGTAGCGTGTGTGTGCTCGTGAACGTGTGCCAGCGTGCGAGTGCGTGCGCCCACGCTCGTGAGCGTGTGCCACGCGAGTCCGTGCTGGCCCCGGCCGGGAGTCGAACCTAGCTGGCCGCGGTCACCTGTGGGTCGAGGCCCAGGCCGGCACGCATCAGGATCACAGTGAGCGCCGCCCTCCTCAGCGCCGACGACCACTCCTGAGCGATGCCGTCCACCAGCTGGCCCGGCACGTTCTTCAGTGCGAAGCCCGTCAGCAGCATCCCTGGGTCCCACGCAACCACGTTCAACCAGGGTGACGACTCACACACGCACACACACACGCAAATGTGGAATCTCCACCACCGGCTCTACCGTGTGAGCAGCAGCGAGAGATCACTCCGGCTCTGTGTGTAAACATACACACACGTGTGTGTGTGTCTATGAAATGTGGGGAAAGGTGGCGCATCGGTCTGCAGCCGGCGCGTTGCGCTACCAACCCTGCGACCCGAGTTTGATTCCCACGCACGGCCACCAACCCCAGTGACGATTATCTGAACCACTCCTGGGCCTCCCCTAGGTCGACTCAACCTCAACTATGAGTACCTGGCCCCCTCCCGTTTTTTGTCTTCTGCTATATGGGGTATCAGAGCTTACCAGGGTTGTAGAGTTTATTGAACCATGGGGTTTAGACAGGTTTCCATTGAAATGTAATCCGTAATATGTTTGTGCTGGTGTCAACCCCATTTCATATCCTCTGTGTACTTTTGGGGAGACAAAGGCGGCTGGGCGCGGTGCTGGCCACCCACCCCCGACTTGTGCCGTGCCGGCCTTCATAGGCGCTGCTAGCTAACAGCACTTGTTCCAAAAAGGTCTGTTGAAGGCTACACGGGGACCTTTGTCTTTGTGAAATTGTCCGCACGTCCCGACTCGGCAGGCCTCGATGTTGGCATTCGCGGGAGCTTTTTTTCCTCCGGGGGGGGCGTGGGGGGGTCTATTCCCATTCGCGATGTTACCGAGGAGCGGAGGGATGGGTGGAACGCCGGGCAGCCGGACGCGGGCGAGCAAGGCTCCGGCCAGCGTGGAGCCGAGGAAGAGCAGCAGCAGGCCAAAGACGTTCCCCCCGGGCAGCACGTCCGCTCCCAGCACGGAGAGCGGCACGGCCCACAGCAGCAGCACGGCCAGCACTAAGGTGGGCGGGGGGGGGGGCACGGAGAGGGGGGACACGGGGACAGATCGAGGGAGATCGAGGGGAGATGGGAGAGGGGACGTGGGGGGAGACACGGAGGGTCAGAGGATAGCAGAGGGAGAGACGGGAAGAGAGGCACGGGGACGTGACGGCGAGTACAGTACAGTACTACAATCTGAATAAAATAGGGGGAGGGGGTGTGGGGGGGGTGGGGGGTGTAGGGTCGCTGGGGGGTGAACTAACGTTGCCGTGTCATAGCGATGGAAGGGCGTGAGGCTCTAGACGCCTCTTGGGTGGAGGAGGCCCCTGGCGCCAACAGCGGCCGGAGCGAGCAAACAGCCGCAGGGCCATGTCTCTACCCATGCCTCGTCGTCGTTGTCATTCATCACGACCTCGACAACGCCCCTGGTCGTCGCTTGAAGTCACGCCAACCCCCTATTGGATCCACGTGCTTAACCTTCATCGATGCAAGTTCAACTCAACCCCACGCCCGGCCGCATTTGTCTCCCAAGTGGTGATGTTTACACAGCAGGTACTCATTTGAGGCCGAGGCGACCTAGGGGAGGCTCACGACCGGCTCAGATAATCGCTAGCACTGGTGTTGGTGGCCGTGAGCGGGAATTGAACTTAGATCGCTGGGTTCATAGCACAGCGCGCGAACCGCTACACTACCGCTCCCAATGAAGCTTGGAGAGCTGAATGGAGTTCAAATAAAATAAAAATATTTAAAAATAAGTTTTTTTTAAACACGCTTTAATGAAAAGTACCGTACTCGTAATTGCAGAACTCCACGACTCCAGGGAGTGGCCCCGCAGCTTGCCATAACGTAAGGGGCTGTGGTGATTTACAGGCAACGTAAGCTGAGCGTGGACAATTAGACCCGTAAAAAATATTGTTTAAAAATATATATTTTACATTTTTAATGATATAATATAGTATTGTCATCAGTACGACATAAGTATACCAAGTCTGCAGTCGATAGCACATTGGAAAGTGGGTAAAAATTGAGTTACAAGATTTTTTTAAGGATACGACAACAGACGAAGTGAGTTAAATAAAAAAGCGTGTAATAAACACATTCCTGCAGAGAGAGCTGGTAGGAACGTTGGGTTGTTCGGTCAATGGCCAGGGTCAACGGAGGCGTGGTGTATTCCGCAAATATGCCTGACTGTGAGGGCGGGCACAAGCCGGTGTGAGTAGGTTAAACGTTGAGTTTAATAAGGGCACCACGGGGTGACCAGCCCCTCCCCACCCAGCCCCACCCCTCCCACCCCCCACCCAGCCCCACCCCTCCCCACCCAGCCCCTCCCCATCCTCCCCTCCCCACCCTCCCCACTCAGCCCCTCCCCACCCTCCCCTCTCCACCCAGCCCCACCCCTCCTATTTTTGGATGCACGACGGACGGACACAATAATCCCCTGTGGGCTGGTGTAACCAGGAGGTTCCTACCAGTAAAAGAGCTCCATCAGTGTGCGACTGTGGCCATCCAGAACAGAGAGCGTACAACGTCTCGATCCACACATACGAAGGAGACATCATCACAGCGAAACACTCCGCTGGTCCTGACGAGGTTATCTGGCTTGACCACTTCAATGTGACATTGTAGTTGTTGCTCTGCATCAACATTAGCCGCCACGTCGATTTCCACCCCCCCCCCCCCATCATCTACACCACAGCTCGATGCTGAGTGGTCAATTCTTGGGACTGCACGTGCTCGTCCAATTGCACTTTCGTACAATCGTCCCCTCATATAGCTTGCTCAATGTTTCTGTAACTTCTGTACGAAAGGAGAAGTCGTCCTCGTTATCATCGCGACGAATCACCATCATTGTGATCGCAACAACTCGCCATCGTCGTGACGACCTATCATCTCCTCATCCAAGGTCGTAACAACTCATCAGTGTCATCATAGCGACGACTCATCATCGTCGTCATGGCGACGACTCAATGTCGTCATCGTCGCGATGACTCGTCGTCGTTGCCGTCATGGCGACGACTCGTCATCTCCTCATCCAAGGTCGTAACAACTCATCATCAAATTTTGATTTAAAGCTTTCGTGACTGCAGGGATTCATCTTCTTGGTTCTTTCGGTAAAGTCACGTAGAATGTAAATAATAAAATAATAAAAATTAAACATAATAAAATAATTCTCACGACGTTTTGGCCACAACGCAAGCAGCCGTCCTCAGGTGGAGAACAGGTCTGTCGAGAAGACAGAGTCTGAATGACATATCATCACTCATCATCGTCATCATGGCGACGACTCAATGTCGTCATCGTTGTCGTCGCGACGACCTATCATCTCCTCATCCAAGGTCGTAACAACTCATCGTTGTCGTCATGGCGACGACTCATCATCGTCGTCATGGCGACGACTCAATGTCGTCATCATCGTCTCCTTACCCGTGGTGGCGAGGCGGGCAAGGCATCCGTGTGGAGGGCACCGGACGGCGTCCCTTGCTCTCAGCTTCCACGGTGTCGCGCCGCCGCCGCCGCCGTCGCCGCCGCCTCCCGTCCGGCGCTGCGACCCCTCAGACCCAGGGGACGCCGCCCCACCGCCACCCTTCTCGCCGTCCCAGCGCGTCTCCATGTTCCCGCGGGCGCCTGCCGCGCACGGACGAAAGACAAAGACAGCCGCCCCCCCCCATCGTGTAGGCATTAGCAGAGTGTTGAGGGCGAGTAGCCAGCATCACGGCCCGGCGGTTTTTGTCTGCCGAGTGGTGATATTATACACACAGGTACTAATTTTAGGCATAGTCGACCTAGGGGCCGTCCATAAATGACGTCACGCGACTTTGGACGATTTTTGACCTCCCCCCCCCCTCGTCACACGGCGTCACAAAAAGTCAGACCCCCCCCCCCTCAAATATGACGTCACAAAGCTCTGCCACCCCCCCAAATAAAACTTGCTTCAAATCGCTTTAAACTATTGTCATTGTAGTGCGTGTTTAATGTGGCGCTGCACTCTGATGTTGTAGGAGAAAACATTTATCAACAAGTCTATTTAATTAAGTATAACGTGTCGTCTATTTTTATTTAAAGTTGTGCATTTCGATGTGACGTCACATTTCTCAAACCCCCCCCCTCGTCACACATCGTCACAAATGTCTGACCCCCCCCCCCTAGGTGCGTGACGTCATTTATGGGCGGCCCCTTAGGGGAGGCACAGTTCAAACATTAGCAACTGATATTGGTCGTGAGCGGGAACTGAACTCGGTTTGCCGGGTTCATCGTGCAGTGCGCTAACCACTGCACCACAGCTCCCCACACACAAAGATCCCCCGTATAGCCTTAACAGACTTTTGGAGCAAGTGCTGTTAGCAAACAAGCACCTAATGAAGGCCTGAACAGCGCACGAAGGGGGTGGGTGGCCAGCACCACGCCCGGTCGCCTTTGTCTCCCCGGTGTCGATGTCGACACACCGCACCAGGTACTCATTTGAGGCTGAGTCGACCTAGGGGAACCCCAGGACCGGTTCAGATAATCGTCACCGGTGTTGGCCATGAGCGAGAATCGCCACACCACCGCTCCCCACGGCCCACACATGAACACACAAGAACACACATGACCACACATGAACACACATGACCACACATGAACACACATGACAACACATGAACACACATGACCACACATGAACACACAAGAACACTCATGACCATACATGAACACACATGACCACACATGAACACACATGACCACACATAACCACACATGAACACACATGAACACACATGACCATACATGAACACACATGACCACACATGACCACACATGAACACACATGACCACACATGACCACACATGAACACACATGAACACACATGAACACTCATGACCATACATGAACACACATGACCACACATGACCACACATGAACACACAAGAACACTCATGACCATACATGACCACACATGACCACACATGACCACACATGAACACACATGACCACACATGAACACACATGACCACACATGAACACACATGACCACACAAGAACACACATCACCACAAATGCCTACACATGACCACACATGAACACACATGAACACACAGGAACACACAAAGCCGACCTTTCACCCCTAGCAAGCTTTACGTTGTAACCTCGTGGGTGCAAAAGTTCATGGCCACCCACCCCCTCGTGTGCCACAGTGCCGGCCTACCTTAGATGCTGCCACTCGCTAACAGCACTTGCCCCAACAGTCTGTGAAGGCTACACGGGGGATCTTTGTCTCTGCGTGTCTCCTGCAAGCTGCTCCTGTCACGAATCGGTTTCAGTCAATTGCGTATCGAATAATTGTGAAAAGTCTCAGTTTGGTGTTTTGACATCTTAACACCTAAATTTTGATTTAAAGCTTTCGTGACTGCAGGGATTCGTATTCTTGGTTCTTTCGGTAAAGTCGCGTAAAAGAGAAATAATTATAATAATAATAAAAATATAAAACAATATTATTGTTTTATATTTTTATTATTTTATTATTTCCCTTCTACGTGACTTTACCGAAAGAACCAATAATATCTTAACACAGCTGTTTTGTTTCCAGAAAAGGAGGAAACCCTATTCTCACAATCACCGATGTTAAGTTGACTGTGTAAAGGGGGGTTGTGTAACACAATCACCGATGTTAAGTTAACTGTGTAACACAATCACCGATGTTATGTTGACTGTGTAAAGGGGGTTGTGTAACACAATCACCGATGTTAAGTTAACTGTGTAACACAATCACCGATGTTAAGTTAACTGTGTAACACAATCACCGACGTTAAGTTGACTGTGTAAAGAGAGGACCGCCCGCCTGTTCACCAACTATCGGGCTTGTGCGGTGCGCGAGCCAGCTGATCGGATCTTCACTCAACTCGCCCCCCCGTTGAGTGCGGGAGACGCAACAACGTTCGACGTTTCGGGGAATGGCCCTTATTCAGAGCACGTGTGTGCGAAAGACGAACCGTGGCGGGTGAGCGAGCGGTGCAGTCGTGACGGGAAGCCACGGCAAGTCCACGCGGCGCGTAGCCACGGAGAGGCGACTCCGAGCGGCCAGCAACAAACAGCACTAACATCGAATCGGCAAACACATTTGAGCACTTTTAATGGGAAACCAGCACCGCGTTACATAACGTAACCTCCATACATAGCTCTATTCGTCATTGATTAACCACCGGGGAAGGATGAACGGGGGGGGGTGGGGGTCAATACATAGTCACCACAGTAATTATTAGCACAGCGGATGCCCCAAACCCACGCTGCCTGCAGCTGCTGCTCAACGTTGCTGGGCGCGCAGGCAACGCCGCGGCCACCTGCACGCCGGGGTGGGGTCCTCGAGACGAAGCCGACGACAACTTTATTGACAGCACGGCACGGCGGAAGAGGAGGGGTGAGGAAGAGAATAACTTTATTGAGAACACGAAGTCGGTGTTTCTGCGGCCAAGACAATCAACTTGCACCGCCTTGGGGGCCGTCCATAAATGACGTCACGCACCTAGTGGGGGGAGGGGGGTCAGATATTTGTGACGATGTGTGACGAGGGGGGGGGAGGGAGTGTTTGATGTGACGTCACATTCAACACGCGCAACTTTAAATAAATATAGAATTGTTATAACACTAATTGTTATAACAACACTCCTACAACATCAGAGTGCAGCGCCACAGTAAATACGCACGACAATGACAATATTTAAAGCGATTTGAAGCATGTTTTATTTTCAAAATGGATATATGGTTTGGGGGGGGGGGCAGCAGAGCTTTGTGACGTCATATTTGAGGGGGGGTCTGACTTTTTGTGACGACGTGTGATGAGGGGGGGGGGGGGGTCAAAAATTGCGTGACGTCATTTATGGACGGCCCCTTAGTCCAATTTATAAGACGCTCTTTCTGGAAAGTAAGACGCACCAGCCCGAAACGTTGTGTCCGTTGTTAATAAAGTTGTACAAATCTGGTCACACAGAGGGATCGGATTACAAACCCGTCAACCCCTTATCAGTGTCCCTGCCTCGTTACAGACCAATTCACTCACCTGTCAACCCCTTATCAGTGTCCCCTACCTCGTTACAGACCAATTCACTCACCTGTCAACCCCTTATCAGTGTCCCCTACCTTGTTACAGACCAATTCACTTACCTGTCAACCCATTATCAGTGTCCCTTGTTACAGACCAATTCACTTACCTGTCAACCCCTTATCAGTGTCCTTACCTTGTTACAGACCAATTCACTTACCTGTCAACCCCTTATCAGTGTCCCCTACCTTGTTACAGACCAATTCACTCACCTGTCAACCCCTTATCAGTGCCCCCTACCTCGTTACAGACCAATTCACTCACCTGTCAACCCCTTATCAGTGTCCCCTACCTCGTTACAGACCAATTCACTCACCTGTCAACCCCTTACCAGTGTCCCCTACCTTGTTACAGACCAATTCACTCACCTGTCAACCCCTTATCAGTGTCCCCTACCTTGTTACAGACCAATTCACTCACCTGTCAACCCCTTATTAGTGTCCCCTACCTTGTCACAGACCAATTCACTCACCTGTCAACCCCTTATCAGTGCCCCCTACCTCGTTACAGACCAATTCACTCACCTGTCAACCCCTTATCAGTGTCCCTACCTTGTTACAGACCAATTCACTCACCTGTCAACCCCTTATCAGTGTCCCCTACCTTGTTACAGACCAATTCACTCACCTGTCAACCCCTTATCAGTGCCCCCTACCTCGTTACAGACCAATTCACTCACCTGTCAACCCCTTATCAGTGTCCCCTACCTCGTTACAGACCAATTCACTCACCTGTCAACCCCTTATCAGTGTCCCTGTCTCGTTACAGACCAATTCACTCACCTGTCAACCCCTTATCAGTGTCCCCTACCTTGTTACAGACCAATTCACTCACCTGTCAACCCCTTATCAGTGTCCCCTACCTTGTTACAGACCAATTCACTCACCTGTCAACCCCTTATCAGTGTCCCTGCCTCGTTACAGACTAATTCACTCACCTGTCAACCCCTTATCAGTGTCCCTGCCTCGTTACAGACCAATTCACTCACCTGTCAACCCCTTATCAGTGTCCCCTACCTTGTTACAGACCATTTCACTCACCTGTCAAACCCCTTATGAGTGTCCCCTACCTCGTTACAGACCAATTCACTCACCTGTCAACCCCTTATCAGTGCCCCCTACCTTGTTACAGACCAATTCACTTACCTGTCAACCCCTTATCAGTGCCCCCTACCTTGTTACAGACCAATTCACTTACCTGTCAACCCCTTATCAGTGTCCCCTACCTTGTTACATACCAATTCACTTACCTGTCAACCCCTTATCAGTGTCCCCTACCTCGTTACAGACCAATTCACTCACCTGTCAACCCCTTATCAGTGTCCCCTACCTCGTTACAGACCAATTCACTCACCTGTCAACCCCTTATCAGTGTCCCCTACCTCATTACAGACCAATTCACTTACCTGTCAACCCCTTATCAGTGTCCCCTACCTTGTTACAGACCAATTCACTTACCTGTCAACCCCTTATCAGTGTCCCCTACCTTGTTACAGACCAATTCACTCACCTGTCAACCCCTTATCAGTGTCCCCTACCTTGTTACAGACCAATTCACTCACCTGTCAAACCCTTATCAGTGTCCCCTACCTCGTTACAGACCAATTTAGACCTCATTGTTCACCCCGTGCCCCTTAGAAATGTCATCGTTCATCCTACAAAGTCCCATCACAAGGGAGAAACACAAACAAGCAGACACTTTTTTTGCCCGTATTGAAACGACTGTACACCGTATCCACCTGAAAAGTCAATTTCCCTGTACAAGAATGCGGGATAAACCGTATGGGTTGACACGGTGTGATATTATAAGACGCACCCGATAAAGTTACGCCCATCTGGTCACACACAGCTACCGGATTATAAGACCGCACTTTTTCTTCACACAATCACAATATAAATGGATCCACCAGCTCGTGTGGAGCAACTGTTGGCGGGTGGTAGGCTCAAATGTGTGGATAACGCCCACCGGTTCTACGAACCTCCATTCGTCCTGGAGGAATCCGATTAGCTGTGAAGCTCTATATTCACAGATGTGGAAGAGTAGGCCGAATACCCCTCTGGAGTAGAGTGGGGCTCTCCTGAGAGACTCCCTCTCTTGCAGGAGGCCCAGTGGGTCAGCAGTAGCGCGAGCATAAGCCGATTCGTTAAGCAATCTTTTGTGGCCAGGTCGCTTCAGAAAAAAGAGTCTAATTGCTCAGTTGGGGTTATCCGGTAGGAAAAAAATTTGTTTCGTTTTATTCCTATATTTTAAAGTGATTTGATTACCTTTCCTAGAGACTTTGCACTCCGATTGTGCGTTTGCATTGTTTGATGGAACGTTCTGAGCTGTCCTCACTGGACATCCGTGAAAAAAAGAGCTTTTTATCTCATCGGATTCCTCCAGTGTAAATATATCGCGTTGACTCTGAGCCAAGCTCGCTGGAACGGGCTGCGCATCTGCTTAACCCCGTGGGACTCTCCGTTGTGTCGATGTTCCGGGTTCACACCTGGCTGAGCTGTCATCGCTGCCACTCGGGCGTCGCAGCTAATTGACGGCGATTGTGTTCCACCACGGACGTTCGACACTCGGGGGTCCGATGGGATGAGCCAATGGGGAGGTTTTAATTAATCGAGCTCGTGGCATCTGGTGGAAATTTCTAACGCCGCGGCTGTGCGCACGGCCACGCGATGTGCACTATTTATAGCATCCTTGAGATTGGCAGAAATTTAATGATGTACTTAAGCTCGTTTGCTAGCTCGCATTTTAACAGGTAAGGCCCACTGAGCTATCTATATCAGATCCTTTCCAGAAGTGACCTGGCCACAAGTGATAGCTTAACGAAGTGGCTTAACACATGGAAATGTATAGCAGCACAAAGACTCGACACGCGTGATGTTGATTCTAAATGTGAAAGGTAAAAACCGGTGGACCCGGAGAAAAATCCACGCGACCAAGGGGAGAACGCACAAACTCCCAAATATACAGCAGTTGTCAGGGTCGGGATCGAACCCACGACCTCCTGTGTACCAGGCGAGGTAGTTAACATCTCGCCACGACATGTGGGAGGAAACCGGAGCGCCTCGTTATGGAACAGTGTTGTCCCACACTGCACGTGCGCGTGTTTTCTCCACGTGCAACCGGTTTCAACGCACGTGATTTAAAAGACGACTCATTCAGTTGGCTGAAAACGTCTCAATATACAGAGGACCGCAGAGCTTGGATAATTGCTAGTCGCGCCCGCTCACCACCACCCCGGCCATTACATTCCAGCTTTGTGGTTCCTCGGCAAGTTTGAAAGTTGCTCTCTTGAACTGCAACGTAATTCAATACGTTGAAAATAAGACGCGCACGCACGCACACACCTTCTTAATCAATTTAGCTCGAATATAAATATCCACTTTTTATTCCAACCTTTTAGTGGCTGTAAAAATAAAAATAAAGGGTGACGCACACACGTGAGGGGAGGGGGGCGGGCGGGGGTGGGGGCACGTATCAATGATCAGTACAATCAGTCGATATTTTCACTTACCGTATTTGGTAACGAGGGAGGGTATACAGTGGTCGAGATGTCTTGTGACCACCCAATGAATTGACCCCTAACATTTTTGCTGCTTTGCGTTAGACATTTTTTCGTTATGAACATCACTTAAAATAAAATGTTAAGCTTCCGAGCGGTGTTCTTCATTAGAAGGTGGCCTTCAGTGCGGGCCCCTGACAATGAATGCACAGACAACCCCCTCCCCATCATCATCGTGCTGCTGTCACACAACCCCCAATGGTTTCTAATGTGTGACGTCCCTCACTCAGAACCACCCACTCTGAAAATTAGTGAGGTGCACTGAGTTAGATGATTAAATGGGAGTCACAAGGCATCTGGATCACCCTGTACCCGAGGAGTGATTACGTAACAAGTGGGGGTCGATCGATGCGAGATGGTGGTATGGGGGTAGGGATGATGGAAACAGGAACGAGCCAGGGGAGAGCTAATTAAGGACGATAGGAAACGGCACGGCAGAGCAGGAGAGGCTCGGGGAGCGAGGGCAGGAGGAGAGACCACGACACGAGGAACTGGAGCCCCGGAGGGTAGGCAAGGAAGTGTGTATGTTCGAATTTCTTTCGCGCCATACGTAGCCAATCGCGTTAATCGGGAGGTGCGGGGGGAGGACAACACACTAACCACAAAACGCAGTTGTAAAAAAAAAATGTTTTCAAGCTAGATGGTTTAACACATTCCTGCGGGGGGAGCTGGTAGGAACGTTGGGTTGCTCGGTCTGGCCAGGGTCAACGGCGGCGTGGTGTATTCCACAAATATGGCCGACTGTGAGGGCGGGCACAAGCCGGCGTGAATAGGTTAAACGTTGAGTTTTATAAGGGCACCACTGGGTGACATGCCCCACTCCCTCATCATGCAGGTACCTCAACAGCACCACCACACACACCATCATGTTTGTATGTTGAACTTCTTTCGTGCCATACGCAGCCAACCGTGCTAATCGGAGATGCGGGGAAAGGACAACAAACTAAACACAAAACGCAGTGGTAAAAAAAAAATAGTTTTCAATCTAAATCAGAGGCTGGCAATCTGCAGATCCAGAACCGCATGCGTCTCTTTACGAACGACTTCGTGACGTTATCTATGTATTCACATTGCATTACAGCTCTTGAAATATGGCTCTACATTATTTAAAAGTGCATAGCTCCAGTGGCTTCCTAATGTCGGCAGGAAGTGTTCCAGACCGCCACTAAAGCCAAAAGCCACTGCGAAGGATGAACAGAGTTCGCATGATGGTTTATGCTCCTTAATGAGATCAGCGAGGTGTTGTGGTTCACTTGTGGCAAGCACTTCGTGTGTAATAAGTACGACCTTATAAGCGAGAGGTGTGCGATTTCGCCGAACTGTACAAAGGAAAAGTTGTGTTCATTAGCCTGGAGGGTACAGACGGATGCAGTAGCCGCTATTCATTTTACATTCCCGTGTACGGCAAAAAATTAGCTCGGGAGCTAAATACCAATGTCGTACATTCTGCTGGTGACGACGCACGGGCCTCAGGACAGGGACTTCGTGTAGTTTTGCTGTTCCTCCTCCTCCATTGTAAGGAGCGCAGACGGACAGTGCGTTACCATATGGTCCGCGGTTTGAGTTGCGTGGCAATAATCACAACGGCTGAGACTTTGTATTTCATTTTCAATTCATGAAGGAGATGTACACACCGGCCTGGTGAGGTTGCCACGCGGTTGAGCGTCTTCGCGGAGGAGGGGTAGGAGAAACGTCAATGGGAGGAGGTGGCATGGTTGGGTCTCGAACGAGACGCTTATTCTGGACGTCAATCATCCGTTAGGATTATGCTTTATTCCGTTAAAGTGGGGAAACTTCAAGCTTATACCAAACGCTTGCGACAGTGCTCACAGCCGCTTCATTAAATACATAACCAATCGATGAAGTTCATTGCTCAAGAACCAAAGTTCACCTCGTGTAGGCTGTTTTAATGATTCTAAACATGGCATTTACAATCATAAAACCGTAACAAGGTTAATAGTATCAATGCTATATTCTTGGTTCTTTCGGTAAAGTCACGTAGAAGAGAAATAATAAAATAATGAAACTAATAAATAAATACATGTTTTATTATTTCCCTTCACGTAGAAGGGAAATAATAAAAATAATACATATTTTATTTTATTATTTCCCTTCTACGTGAGTTTACCGAAAGAACCAAGAATATGAATCCCTGCAGTCACGAAATATTTAAATCGAAAAGCATCAATGCCATTCACGAATATATTACTTTTAATTCAATGACATTCTCGAATCTCATGTTAATATTATTTGGTAATCTATTCTCAGACGCACGTTCAATGCATGTTTTTTGTGAATCTGGGAATGACATGCCATCAAGAGAGGGGTCCGATTGGCTAAGAGGTCGGAGCGCTGAGTCCGGGTGCTCAGATCCGTGATTCGGATTTAGGTTTCATCACTGCCACAGAGCCCGGCATTGCGCAGATCCGGGATTCGGATCCAGGTTTCGCCACTGCCCATGGCAAAACCGAGTTTTCATGCAGTGAGTCGGTGGTCTGGGTACCGATCGCCAATGACTGCACACAACAAAAACCGTGATCACATTAAATTTGGTTCTGCGCTTAACTTGCAAAAATGCCAGCTCTGAATGTGAAATGATGAGTTTCACTGCCACGCGACAAACGTGAATCTTGCACGCAGGGCGAGTTGGAAAATACTGCCACCTACTGTGTGGACCGCAGATCACTTGAAGGGATCTCAGAGAATGCTCTGTGATATCCAATTTAGAGGCCGTTCTCTTTACAGGAAGGGATGCACTGCTCTGCGAGATTTTCTACTGGATTCTCGTGACAATCGGGATAAAATTTTCTAAATGTTTTTTTTTAAAACGTAGAGTGAAATTGAATGTGTGAATCGTAATGTGGCCATTTTCTAACAGTGAGACAATTGTATCCGCCAAGCTTTAAATAACTGTCAAACATGGAAACGGCCGGCAATTGCGGTTTAAAAATAACTATCCACTCCTTGGTGTTCCTCCTCTTATCGACCTTCATCGTCTTCCTGTTGTTCGTCCGTCACGACGGGCTTGTTTGGGTTATTCCGAACCAGCCAGTCGGCAAGCCACACCTAAACACAGACGAGACGTGCAATGCGTGGCAGCGGGAGTGGGCGGGCGAGCGAGCGAGCGAGAGAGGGGTGGATAGGGAGGGGAAGAAAGGTCACCAACAGCTTGGGTTAGGAGAGACGGTGATGCACAGCGCATGTTTTTCACTGTTGCGTTGCAACGCTTCTCCGATGTACATTTGGGTTGTACGGCGTGTTGTGTACGTGTGTATGTTGAACTTCTTACGCACGGTATGTAGCCAACCATGCTAATTGGAGGTCCGAGGGAAGGAAAACAATCGAAACGCAAAAAGCAGTTCTCACAAAATGTTCATTGCCCCGCACGCTTTCAGATGCGCATCTGCGGCCGTCTGGAACGCTCTTCATTCCGACATTAGGAAGCCACTGGAGCTATGCACTTTTAAATCTTAGATTGAAAACTCGTTTCATTAGAACTACTTTCTGTGTTTGTTTGTCCTTCTCCCACACCTCTGATTGGCACGGTTGGTGACGTACAGTGCGAAAGAAGTTAAACATATATACACGAGGAAGTGGTGTGGCTAGCACCTCGCCCGTCCGCCTTAATCTCCCCAGCGCTGATGCTTACACACCGCACCAGCTACTCATAAGGCTAAAGGGCCGTCCATAAATGACGTCACACACCTGGGGGGGGGGGGGTCAGACATTTGTGACGATGTGTGACGAGGGGGGGGGGGTGGTATTGAGAAATGTGACGTCGCATCAAAATGCGCAACTTTAAATAAAATAGACAACACGTTCTACTTAATTAAATAGACTTTTTAATAAATGTTTTCTCCTACAACATCAGAGTGCAGCGCCACATTAAATACGCACTACAATGACAATAGTTTAATGCGATTTGAAGCATGTTTTATTTTCAAAATGGAAATATGCTTTTGGTGGGGTGGGGCAGAGGCTTTCTGACGTCATATTTGAGGGGGGGTCTGACTTTTGTGACGTCGTGTGATGAAGCGGGGGGGGGGGGGGGGTCAAAAATCGTTCCAAATCGCGTGACGTCATTTATGGACGGCCCCTAAGCCTTGGGAATGCGATGGTAGTGCTTCAGAACACGTTCCTTCAGAGTGGGCAGGTAGGAACTTGGTTGGACAGCGCATTCGTGCACGACAGACAAATATGAACGACAGACAGACAAATAATCCCTGGTGGGCAGTGTGGAACCTGTTGTTTCTACCTGTATACAAGATAACTTGACTTGAGGTAGCCAGGCAGCCGGCCAGGTAGCCAGCCCCCTTAACTATCGGCCCCTCCCCCTTGCTTAGGCCCCTCCCCTTACCCCCCCTCCCTCAGGCCCCTCCCCTGACCCCCCCTCCCTCAGGCCCCTCTGCTGACCCCCCCTCCCTCAGGCCCCTCTGCTGACCCCCCTCTTTTAGGTCCCTCCCCTGACCACGCCCCCCCCCCCATATCCTTAGGCCCCTCCCCTGACCCCCCCCCTCAGGCCCCTCTCCTGACTCCCCCTTCCTTAGGCCCCTCCCCTGACCTTCCTCCCTTAGGCACCTCCCCTCTCCGTACCTGGCAGTAGGTCTCCACCAATCAAAGAGCTGTTTATATATATATTTATGCACGACACAGTCAGACAAATAATCCCTGGTGGGCAGTGTGGAACATATTGTTCCTACCTGTATATTCGTCACCGATGTTGGCCGAGACCGCCAACTGCTGCGCTACCGCTCTCAACATCCATGCGTACATACGAGCTGTCTCTCACCACGGGGTCGGCTGGCTTGTGCTTGCAGAGCTGCGTGAGTCCGGCGAGCAGAGTGGGATTCACTGACCTCTCCAGGTACTCGCGAGCGGCCGGACTCTCCGGGATAGGCTCCAGGATGGCTGCGAGTTGCACACCAGACGACACAATTATTTATGATTAGTTTAACACGTAGGCTTTCGCGACCAATATTATTCATAAAAAACGTTTTTTGGGTGAGATCGCGTTATTTATAATTGTGTCGTAACCCTCCACCACCCGACACGGCCAATCAGCAAAAAAGTGTCACGTTGACAAAAGACAAATTGCCCGATTACCAATCTAGTATATAATTACAATAACCCCCCCTCCGCCTCAAATCGTTGCACCTGAAGAGTTAAATGATGACGTCACCCTGCTGCTATTCTATTTAAGACCGGGAGCAAGAGCAGAGCCTCACCATTCTGGCGAATTGCCCGATGATGCTGGATGCAATTACCAGCGAAACGTCGTACCCAAAAATTGTAAATGTTGTGGTTTCACGCTTCAACACACCGGTGGGCTAAAGTAGTGAACTATTTGTCTTTTGTCAACGTGACACTTTTTTTGCTGATTGGCCGTGTCGGGTGGTGGAGGGTTACGACACATTTATAAATAACGCGATCCAACCCAAAAAACTTTATTATGAATATTTATGATTAATTGTCATGATTATTATGATGCTTGTTGACCCAGGAATGCCTTACAGAGTCCCAGGGACTCTTCTTTTTTTTTACAGGAGAGTCCTCCCGAGTTTTCACGTTAGAGGAAGCAACGTTGCTAAGTGTAAACCCTGTTGAATAATCTGTCCAGGTATATTGCAGTTTCGCGGTGTTTGGACACATTTTTTATTTAGTGAATGCTTTCAGACGAGACTTTTACACAATTAGAGCACCAGATATACGCAAGGAAAATTACTAATTAAATGAACACGTATGTATGCTGATGATATATTGTGAGTGGATGTCAGCCCACGTCGCCACAGAGCCATGTGATAGCCTCTTCCTCCCCCAGCACGTTTGCCTAATACCAGTTACGTTGTGTGTTTGTTTTAGCGATGGGAGAAAACCCGGAGGAAACCCGTGCAGGGTGAGAACTTACAAACTAAAATAAAATTAAAATAATTTTCCCAGGTAAGGCTCACTTGAGCTTTTTTTCTCTTTTTCAGAAGCGACCTTGCCAAAATCGATAGCTCAATGAAGTGGCTCATCACGTGGAAATTTATTGCTGCCAAATACTCTAAACGCGTGTTGATTCTAAATGTGGAGGGAAAAAGCGGAGGACCCGAAGAAAGATCCACGTGGCCACAGGGAGAGAGACGTGAAAAAAAGAAAATATACAGCAGGCGTCAGGGTCAGAATTCAACCCACGACCTCCTGCATACGAGGCGAGCTTCACTCACACTCTGCATAACAGGGGGATAACAAACTCCGCACAGAAAGAGTTGGGAATTGACCTCACAGCACAGTGCAGACACTAGAGGGCAATATAGCACTCCTTACCGTAATTTAAGTTTTTTTTCCCCCTTAACACATTCCTGCGGAGGGAGCTGGTAGGAACGTTGGGTTGCTCAGTCAATGGCCAGGGTCAACAGCGGCGTGGTGTATTCCGCAAATATGCCCGATTGTGAAGGCGGGCACAAGCCGGCGTGAGTAGGTTAAACGTTGAGTTTTATAAGGGCAGCACGGGGTGACCAGCCCCTCCCCACCCAGACCCACCCCTCCCACCCCGCACCCAGCCCCACCCTCCCCACCCAGCCCCTCACCACCCTCCCCTCCCCACCCTCCCCTCTCCACCCAGCCCAAACCCTCCCATTTTTGGATGCACCAATGGAACGGACACAATAATCCCCTGTGGGCTGGTGGAACCAGGTGGTTCCTACCAGTATTAATTAAATATTCAAACGCACAGATGGCTCAGGACACAGAGCCTCTGTATATAGCTACTAGATAAGAGCTGTTTGTGTCTTTGGTGGTAAAATATATTGTAAGTGCCTGCACAAATTTGTTACGTGTGCAGTTTTTTTGCCATTTTTATTCAGAGGTGCAGGAAACCAGAGACAAGCTGGAAAGCAGCAGCCAGGCGGTGAGCCGTCACCAACGATTTCCAAAGTTCTGCAGTCCTCTATGTATTAAGATGTTTTTTTGCCAATTCATGAGTTTACACAAATTGAAAACTAATTTCTTTAGGACTGCTTTTTGTGTTTAGGTTATTGTCGCAGAGTTATGTAACATTACACGCCACAGGTTCAAGCTTAACATTAGTTCGTTATCCTTCCCCCGCACCTCCGATTAGCACGGTAGGCTACGTGCGATCCCAAAGAAGTTCAACATACATACAAACCGAAGCACTCGCGAGAAAACATGCGTGTGCGAGGGCCAGCACAGCTCAATCTCCGTACAGATGGGAACAGATGGAGATTAATCCACGCTTGCTGCAACTGCCTTCCCCCGGCGAGCCAGGGTACGACGGCTCCTCCTCGACTCCCACCGGAAAGGAGTTTCATGACAACATCTCTGTGTGCGGTGATCCACCATTCCTTTCTGCTTCCTCCACAGTGCTGGATCACAGGTAGCAGCTACGTTTGCAGCCTCAAGTGCCCCCCCCCCCAGGATGCCTGGGCTTCACTGGTGCTGCCCCGGCTGCCCCTGGGGCTCGTTGTGATTGGTTCTATGTGCCCCTGGCGTTGCTCTTCTCTCCGTCCCTACCCCCACCTCAACACGAACTCCTCCTACCCACCTCCCTTTTATCCTCTTTTATTCTTTTGGAAAGCATCTTGAGATGTGGTTGCATTTATATGCCACGTAAATTCCAATAGATTGTTTTCAAGAATGAGTGAGTAGGTAGGTGAGCAAATGGGCAGGTGAGTAAGTGGGTGGGTGAGCCAGTAATTGAGTCTGAGAGTGAGCGAGTATGTGAGTACGTGTACGAGTAATGTGAACGAATGAGTGAACGAATCGGGGGGTTGGTGAACAAGTAGGTGGGTGAGTGAGTGAGTTGGTGAGTAGGAGAGTGAGTTGGCAAGTGAGTGAGCGACTGACTGAGTAGGTGAGCAAGTGAGTAGGTATGTGAGCAAATGGGTGAGCCAGGTATTGAGTAATACAGTGAGCGAGTAGGTGAGTTGAGTGAACGAGTAGGTGAATGAATGAGTGAGCTAATCGGTGAGTTGGTGAACAAGTAGATGGGTGAGTGAGTTAGTGAGTAAGTGGGTGAATTGGCGAGTGAGTGATCGATCAAGTGGGTGAGCAAGTGAGTGAGTAGGTAGGTGAGCAATGGTCGAACCAGTTATTGAGTATTACAGTGAGCGAGTAGGTGAGTTGAGTGAATGAGCAAGTGCATAAACGAGTGAGCGAGTTGGTGAACAATTAGGTGGATGAGCGAGTGAGTGATCGAGTGGGCTGGCGAGCGGGTGAACGAGTGGGTGAGCAAGCGAGTGGATGAGCATTACCGTCGGGGAAGAAGAACCGTATTTCTCGCTCGGCAGCTCCAGGGTTGTCACTCCCGTGGACGGCGTTGCGCAGTTCGTCCGTGCCATACAGCGCACGCAGGCTGCGCACACGCACGCAAACAGACACAACCATCGTCTCAACGGGAGTTACTGTTCTCCCACTGATGCTGACGCATTGGTGCTGTCAACTGTACCACGTTGTCAAGGTTATGAGATGCTCCGGAGAGTAAGGCTCACCTAGTAAGGCTCGGTCCAGGACATCGATGTCATTGAGAAAGAAAAGGAAAAAAATGAAAATTCGACTTCGCGGGTGAGGGTGGTGGAAAAATCACGTGTCTTATAACTGCAGAGAATACGGTAGCGGTGAAAGTGGCTGTATGGTGGCGATAAAATTATCGACGACTCTACCCGGTTTCAATAATAAAAGACTCGTCACATTCGTCAACAACACCGTGTGTGGACTAGAAAGGAAAGGTATATAATAGATGACGTTTTGGGCAATAGCCCTTCACCAGAACACATAAATACGTCAATAAAGTCAATAAAGTCAATAAAATCTGGTCACACACATGCCTGAAGGAAGGAGCCATGTCAGCAATAAAGCCATATCCCGGTTTATAAAAGAGACACCGCCAACGTTTGCTTTGAAATAATCATCATCACGATCCATGGGCAGATAGCCCGTAGGTATCCACTGCACGTTTCGTCATTTTCTTCCACTTTTCTGTCTCGTGCCAATATGCTCAGGTAGTGCACATCTGTCTGACACCTATCTCTTACAGTGAGGGGAAAAAAGTATTTGATCCCCTGCTGATTTTGTACGTTTGCCCACTGACAAATAAATGATCAGACTATAATTTTAATTGTAGGTTTATATGAACAGTGAGAGACAGAATAACAACAACAAAATCCAGACAAACGCATGTCAAAAATGTTATACATTGATTTGCATTTTAATGAGTTTGATTCCTGCTCACGGCTACCACCGGTGACGATTATTTTAATCCGCTCCATGGGCCTCCCCTAGGTCGACTCAGCCTCAAACGAGTAACTGGTGTGGTGTGTGAACATCGCCGCTGGGGAGACAAAGGCGGCCGGGCATGGTGAATCCAAGTCCTGGGCGAAGCCGGGTAGTAAAGCTAGTCAATTATAAATTGTGACCATCCTTTGATAGAGACAAAATAAGCACATCGTATAAACCAGAGAATACGTGAATTGCAAAGTGTAAAGCCCCACCACCCCACGCTTTCTGTACCTGTCAGGGTGGCTCTGCCGAGCCTTCTCGCTGTTTCTGGGTCCCATGAGTTGCTGCCAGAGTTCCGTGGCTCGGTGCCGAGCCAGAACCATGGCCAGGATGGGACCGGAGCTCATGTACGCCACCAGGCTGGGGAAAATCATCTTGCCAAAGTGCTCGCTGTACAGCTCGCTGCACTGCTCAGGGCTGAGGTGCACACGTCGGCACTGCGCAACAGAGACAAAAAGACAAGGATCCGCACGCGTGTTACTTGAACAAACAGCTGAGGCTCCGCCATAGGGTATCGGGTCGTGCCAATGGTGGCTAGGAGATGTTAACTACCTCGCCTGGTATGCAGGAAGTCATGGGTTCGATCCCAATCCTGAAGCCTGGTAATTTGGAGTTTGCGCGTCTCTCTCCCCGTGGTCACGTGGATTTTTCTCCGGGTCCTCATGTTTTTCCTTCCACATTTTATAATCGACATGCGTTTAGAGTATTTGGCTGCTAGAAATTTCCACATGATGATAAGCTCGGCCTGGCGATTACCGTCAAGAGCCGTGGCGATATCAAACGCGATGAACGATTTAATAAACGTGAAAGTTGATGTGGTGATGCTGCATCCTCAAAACGTGCCCATGGGGATTTGCAATGAAGGATTTAAAACGCGTTTAAATAACGCAGCGGTGAAGCTGTCCTCGGTGTACTCGGTGCACTGAATGAGGTATTAGAGCCACCCCTGTCTTCTGTATGTATCTTGAACTTCTTTGACACCGTACGTCGCCAATCGTGTTAATCAGAGATGCGGAGGAAGGACAACAAACTAAACAGAAAAAGCAGTTTAAAGAAATAACTTTTCAATCTAGATGATTTAAAAGTGCATAGCTCCAGTGGCTTAATATCGGAAGAGCGTTCCAGACGGCCGCAGAAGCATATCTGAAGGCTCGTGGTGCGGTGACCATCTTTATTCGATGGCGAGCCAAAAGCCGCTGCGAGGATGACCGGAGTTTGCATGATGACAATATGTCCAGCAGCGAAATGCCAGACGGCTGACAGATCGCGGTTTGGTTCTGTTTCGGATCAGCCAACAGCCAGCAGTGGTAAACCATTCGTATCGCGAGGGACCCGCGCTGCCTCGGCTCAGATGTGCCAGTGGAAAAGGAAGTGTGAACCCCTGGACTTGGCACACCTGTAGCACAGTGAATCCCGCTTGTGCGATGCACTCTCGGATTTGAGTCGCCGCTTCCAGAGCTTCTGGCTTCACGATGGCCAGGGTGCGTGGCAGCAGAATTTGAGACATCGTTAATTCCGGTCACGGACTCCTCACAAACTGCAGTGCACAGAGAAACAACAACACATCCACGGTCATGATCTGGATCGAGGCCTCTGCACCCGTGTGTGTGTGTGGCGGCCAGGCGTGGTGCTGGAAACCCACCCTCTCGTGTGCCGTGACTCATGCTGCCAGCTATTGGCTGCAAAGTTTGGTCGTACACGTTTATGCGTATCGTTTATTGTTAAATTTGAATCACAGTTCCTGTGATCGTTGTTACGTTGTTTTTATAGCTTTATTTTGGTGATGTCGAAAACGTTTTGGTTTAGCCATGTTTGTTTGTTGTAGTACAGTTAGACTGATAACTTTAATCTAAATTGTCTTATGGTTGTTATTGTTTGACTTGCATCCCACTGGGATGTTTGCACACAGCGTTGATGTACGGTGCTTTTTCATGAAGACTTTGCTGTTTTTTCCCTGGATTTTTCTGTTGCGTGTAGTCACTTTAAGGTGTTTCTTGTTCACGTTTTAGTTTTTTGCGGTTGCACCCGATTCAAGAGCCGAATGGCTCACAGGGCTCCACCTCATAAACGAAACTGAAATGAAACTGAAACAGTATTTGCCCCAACAGTCTGTACTGAGACTATCCGTGGGATCTTTATCTTCGTCGTGCGAATGTGTCCACGTAACACGGCGTGGATGAGGCCTCCATCCAGCAGTGGCTTGACAAAGGGAGGGGAGGCAATGGTCATCAGGCCATGGTCAATCCACTGCTGGATGATCATCCACGCAGCTGCCGATTCTGTCGCTCCATCTCCGCGTTTCAATGCCCCGCGGTGTAAAAATTTTACCGAATGAGATTATGAACGCGGACTTGCGCACAGACGCGCGTCAGGACACACACAAATACACGTGATAAACACCGCGGTGAAACGCACACTTGCTGTTACACGTACGACACTAGTTACACGTACGACAAATCGATCGCAATGCGTGAGGTACCTCAGTAACCACCGCTAGGAATGCTGTATTCTCTGCGTGCCGAAGTTGGCACACGTTTAAATCGCCTCCCCCCCCCTCCCTGTGCCTTGGTGTAAGTGTCGACGCTTGCGCGTTGTTATTCACGTTTACACAACGACTAAAGTAAAACGTCGTTCAAGCTCTTGTGGGGAGGGGGGGGGGTATCGTGAGAGTTACCGCGCCTGACGGAGCTCGTCGCTGCCGCGTGAAGCCTTCGCCGCGAGGCCTCAGAGTGGCAACGCCGTCGCCACGGTAACGAACTCCCTCCCCCCGAGCCCCTCCCCCCCGCCCCCTCACCCCTAGCCCCTCCCCCCCTGCCCCCTCACCCCTAGCCCCTCCCTCCCTAGCAGGTCCCGCCCCAGCCCCTCCCCCCCTTCCCCTCACCCCTCCATCCCTAGCAGGTCCCTCCCAGCCCCTCCCCTTTAGCCCCTTCCCCCTCCCTCCCAGCCCCTCCCCCCCAGCCCCTCCCCCCCCTTCCCCCTCCCCCCCAGCCCCTCCCCCCCTTCCCCCTCACCCCTAGCCCCTCCCCCCCTGCCCCCTCACCCCTAGCCCCTCCCCCCCCTTCCCCCTCCCCCCCAGCCCCTCCCCCCCTTCCCCCTCACCCCTAGCCCCTCCCCCCCTTCCCCCTCACCCCTAGCCCCTCCCCCCCTGCCCCCTCACCCCGAGCCCCTCCCCCCCTTCCCCCTCACCCCTAGCCCCTCCCCCCCCTTCCCCCTCACCCCTAGCCCCTCCCCCCCTTCCCCCTCACCCATAGCCCCTCCCCCCCTGCCCCCTCACCCCGAGCCCCTCCCCCCCTGCCCCCTCACCCCTAGCCCCTCCCCCCCTGCCCCCTCACCCCTAGCCCCTCCCCCCTGCCCCCTCACCCCTAGCCCCTCCCCCTTTCCCCCTCACCCCTAGCCCCTTCCCCCCTCCCTCACCCCTAGCCCCTCCCCCCCTGCCCCCTCACCCCTAGCCCCTCCCCCCCTTCCCCCTCACCCCGAGGCCCTCCCTCCCTTCCCCCTCACCCCTAGCCCCTCCCCTCCTTCCCCCTCACCCCGAGCCCCTCCCCCCCTTCCCCCTCACCCCGAGCCCCTCCCCCTTCCCCCTCACCCCGAGCCCCTCCCCCCCTTCCCCCTCACCCCGAGCCCCTCCCCCCCTCCCCCCTCACCCCTAGCCCCTCCCCCCCTTCCCCTCACCCCTAGCCCCTCCCCCCCTTCCCCCTCACCCCGAGCCCCTCCCTCCCTATTCGGTCCCCCCACACTTTTTAAACTTGATTTGAAGCTGTCGTGACTGCAGGGATTAAAGGGGCCGACATAAATGACGTCACGCACCTGGAGGGGGGGGGGGGTCAGATATTTGTGACGATGTGTGACGGGGGGGTGAGAAATGTGACGTCACATCAAAATGCGCAACTTTAAATAAATAATAGACAACGCGTTCTACTTAATTAAATATACTTTTTTATAAATGTGTTCTCCTACAACATCAGAGTGCAGCGCCACATTAAATACGCACTACAATGACAATAGCTTAAAGCGATTTTAAGCATGTTTTATTTATTTGGGGGGGGGGCAGAGCTTTGTGACGTCATATTTGATGGGGGGGGGTCTGACTTTTTGTGACGAGGGGGGGGGGGTCAAAAATCGTCCAAAATCGCGTGACGTCATTTATGGACGGCCCCTAAGGCCCCACTTGAGCTGTTAGCGTCTTTCATTGTAAGTTTTCGTAGCCAACACAATGTTGTCCGCATTTAGTTTTTTTGTCATGGGGTTGAAGTGTTCATGCCGATGTTCTTTGTGGTTTGTTAACCGGTTCTGTGCCTTGTCGCGTGTTTGTATAGTGCGATGGTTGTTGTCACTTTCTGACCCGCCCAACTGCTGAACGCGTCTGTTTGAAAGAGCTTTAGAGCTCATCGGATGAATCCAGTATAAATACTGATTCTGTGTACCCTCCACCACCCGATGAGATCGTCACGTTTACACACAGGTGATATTATTTAAACGTTGTCAATGTTTCGATCAAAATTGCGGTCGATAAAGCTCCTCATCGGTTGTGTTAGACTTCTCATGATAATGTTAAACGAAGGTGCCACTCAAGATTAAAGTTCGTCTCTAGCCCCCCCTCCCACCGTGCCCCCCTCCCTCCACCTCGCTCACCCCTCTCTAGCCCCCCCTCCCACCGTGCACCACCCTCCCCCCACCTCGCTCACCCCTCTCTAGCCCCCCCCCTCCCACCCGTGGCCCCCTCCCCCCACCTCGCTCACTCCTCTCTACCCCCCCCCCTTCCACCCGTGCCCCCCCTCCCGCCACCTCGCTCACTCCTCTCTACCCCCCCCTTCCACCCGTGCCCCCCTCCCGCCACCTCGCTCACCCCTCTCTAGCCCCCCCTTCCACCCGTGCCCCCCTCCCCCCACCTCGCTCACTCCTCTCTACCCCCCCCTTCCACCCGTGCCCCCCTCCCGCCACCTCGCTCACCCCTCTCTACCTCCCCCCTTTCACCCGTGCCCCCCTCCACCTCGCTCACCCCTCTCTAGCCCCCCCTCCCACCCGTGGCCCCCTCCCCCCACCTCGCTCACCCCTCTCTAGCCCCCTTTCCCACCCGTGCCCCACCCTCCCCCCACCTCGCTCACCCCTCTCTACCTCCCCCCTTCCACCCGTGCCCCCCTCCCGCCAGCTCGCTCACCCCTCTCTAGCCCCCCCTCCCACCCTTGGCCCCCTCCCCCCACCTCGCTCACCCCTCTCTAGCCCCCCCTTCCACCCGTACCCCCCTCCCGCCAGCTCGCTCACCCCTCTCTAGCCCCCCCCTCCCACCCGTGGCCCCCTCCCCCCACCTCGCTCACCCGTCTCTAGCCCCCCCTTCCACCCGTACCCCCCTCCCCCACCTCGCTCACCCCTCTCTAGCCCCCCCTTCCACCCGTGTTCCACCCTCCCCCCACCTCGCTCACCCCTCTCTAGCCCCCCCTCCCACCCGTGGCCCCCTCCCCCCACCTCGCTCACCCCTCTCTACCTCCCCCCTCCCACCCGTGGCCCCCTCCCCCCACCTCGCTCACCCCTCTCTACCTCCCCCCTTCCACCCGTGCCCCCCTCCACCTCGCTCACCCTTCTCTAGCACCCCCCTCCCTCTCTCAACCGCCCCCTCACCACCTCGCTCACTCACCAACTCGGGCTGCAGCCAATCAGAATGCCGCGCTGTTTGGCGCTCTGGGGTTTGGTGAGGGGGTATAGTGGGGGGCCGTTGGGTCCGCGGGTGGGTGGTGGTGGGGGGCTTTGTCGTGGTGAGGAATTCCCTGGCGAGTACGTGCTGTGCTGAACACTCAATCGAGACAGAGTTCAAGACTCACCCCGGGTGTTGGAACTCCTTCACAAATGCACGTCCCGTATGGGAGAGGCTCCCAGTGTCTGACTTGGAGTGAGCCTCAGTGGCGTGGTAACGATCTTATCAGCTCAGGGGGTGCGGCAAGCGTTGTAGGTCTCGCACGGTCGCACCTAGGATATTGTATATCGCTGCTCCTCTTGCCTCATCACGTAATTACATAAGCGGTGTTGTTCTTTTACACTGTTGTTGAAAACACATCTCATGGTGGCTGTCAACGGGGCCCCAACTCGTAGCTTTGGCCACCAGTGGGGGGCGAGGAGGGGGCAAGGCATCCCCCCCCCCGCCTGCCCCCCCCCCCCCCCCCACGTGGCCTCCGCTGGAGCACTCACAGGGTCCACGTGGCCGTGGAAGGAGACGTGAGAACTGGACACCTGTGCGCGTGTTTGTGAGTTTGAACCTCTTTACACTCACGACACTAAAGCCCCCTCGCCCCCCTTGTTAATAGCCACATTGTCAACAGCTTCCAAGGCCCCTTGCGTCTGAAGCGATGGACTCGTCAAGGCCTCACGTGGGAAGGAGAACACGGAGTGTCCATGTGCTTGGACAGGTCAGTCTATAAACTATTTACAAAAAAAAAAATCTTCACCAGGTAAGGCAATGTAGATTTTTTTTCACAGCGATCTGGCCATCAAAAATTATAGCTCAACGAAAGTGGCTTATCGCGTGTATTTTTTTTTGTAAAATTGCAGCCAAATACGCTAAACGCGTGACGTTGATTCTAAATGTGGAGGGGGGGGGGATACCAGAGGACCCGGAGAAAAACCCACGCGACCAAGTTGTGGGTACGTCTCGGATGAAGATGCGCGCATTAACACAAAGCTTCACCACATTGACGTCAAAACGTCACCACAACCCTCGTTGTCTTCGTTTAAACCAGGGGCGGGGAACCCTTTTTCTGCCCTGGGCCATTTGGATATTTATAACATCATTCGCGGGCCATACAAAATAATAAACTAAAAAATTAGCCTGTTATATTTGGTCAAACCTTTAATTAACTTAATTAACCCTAATGTGATGGCTGGAACTGCTTCTCTTTGGCGAGGCGTGTGATGTTAGCTGGTATTGATGATGTTGCTACTCGCAACTGCTTTTCCAGGTTTGCTCCTAGATTTATTGAATTTCGAGTCCCGCCTGCGGTTGCCTTGGCAGGGCCAGACCAAATGATTTCGCGGGCCTTACACGGCCCGCGGGCCGGACGTTCCCCACCCCTGGTTTAAACTATAACGTTTAACACGTAGGCTTTCGCGACCAATATCATCCATAATATAGGCGTTTTGGGTTAGATTGCCGAAATGTAAATGTGTCGTTAAACCCGTCCATCACCCGACACAGCCAATTAGTAAGGTTTGTCACGTAAACAGGAACATGCAAATTCGTTACTAATACAGCACACTGCTGTGTCGTTCGAGAGCAAATCCACAACATTTACAATCTGAGTACGACGTTTCGCCAGTAATTACAACTATCTTCATCAGGCGACAGCCAGATTTGTGGAGAAATCCTCCTGTTTCGTTCCTTAAATAGAGGGGTTGATGTGATGACGTCACTTGTAAGACCATCACGTCCGAAGGGGGAGGGGGGATTAATGATTACCATGGGTATACATTACTGGTTGGGTAATAACTATAAACATTCTATGTTTTTAACCAGGTAAGGTCTTCCTGAGCCTATATATCTCTTTTTTCACGAACGACCTGGCTATCACAAACGACAGCTCAACGAAAGTGGATTTTTTTTTATTGCAGCTAAATACTCTGAACGCTCGATGTTGATTAAAAATGTGGACGGTGAAAAACCGGAGGGCCCGGACAAAGATCCACGCGACCACGGGGAGAGAGCGAGACACGCAAACTCCAAATATACAGCAGGCGTCGGGATCGACCCACGACCTCCCGGCATAGCACAGTGCAGCCACGTGCAGCGTAGCCACCAGCACGACCATCAGGGATACATCAGACGGCTTCTGGAGGCTGAGGGCTTGTGGGGAGTGAAGTGTAGTCGAAGCCGAACTCTTAAGTAGATATTTGTTTTAATGATTCATACTGAAAGTAAAGGAAAGCCCGCCTCCGACCCCAACGCCACAAAAAAACCCGATAAAATAATAATGCCACATGCAATTACACATTCATGGGAAACCGATATGGTGATAATCGCCGCTTCGTGAAACTCGACAGCGCATCGTGGACAATCATATCGCACCATTCACGAGTGTTCACCACCCCCACCCCCATCTCGACCTGACCTAACCCTCACCCCTCGCCCGTAACGAGCCCTTATAAGCAGCGGGCCTCTGTGCAGGACCCGACCGGGTGGTTGGTTGGTGGTGGTGCTGAGCGCTGCTGGTGATTCCCAACGTGATGAAGATGAAGACGTGCATCTCCCTGCTGCTGCTGCTGCTGTTGGGAGCTGCGCTCGAGGCCAGGGCTAAGAGCCTCGTGCTGGCCGGCGGCGGGATCAGCGATGACAACGCGGCGGTGTACGGCGCCATCGTGGAGCTGGCGGTGAGTGCGTGGCGGTGGTGGTGGTGGTGATGGTCGTGTTGGTGGTGAGTGGCAGGGACGTGCGGTCAGGGGAGGCAGGGGAGGCAGAGCCTCACCTATCATACTCCAATGAAAATAGCTGTTACGAAAGGTAAATTAGGAAATAAATATTAAGATTTTTCCACCGATCTGTGTTATAAATGTCATTTCTATATCATTCCAATAATTTTTTCTAACCAAAATCGCTAAATTTGCGGAGCTTTGCTGCAAATACAGGGAGAGGCGAGAGGTGAGGCAGCGGCAAGCTCAGCCTCCCCTCTGATTGCGCAACCCCTCAGAAACTGGATGGAGTGCGGGCAATAGGTGCGTGCCTGACTGAGTGGGTGGTCATAGTGTTAATTATGTGGTGGTGGTGGTGGTGTGTGCTGCTGGTGGTGGTGGTAAGTGCATGCTGGTGAGTGTGTGGTGGGGTGTGGATGGTGGTGGTGTGTGCTGCCGGTTGTGGTGAGTGTTAAGTGGTGGTCTGTGGTGAGTGTGTGGTGGTGGTGGTAGGTGGTGAAGGTGGTTGGTGTTTTATAGGTTGTGTTGCCCATAATGATGATATTTTATAATTATAACTAACATTGATTATTTTAGAAAATACAATTAACGTACAAGAATATCAACATCAACAATTACAAAATATGAACATCAATGGTCGTAATAATTATCAACACATCCTCATTGTAATACTCATTAACATAATCTTTAACAGTAATATCAGAGTGAATATGGGATCCATCGCTCATCCACCCACTTGCCCACTCAGGCACTCGCCCAACCACCTACCCACTCGCCCCTCACCAATCCTACACATCCAACAACAACCGCTATTCGCCACTAAGTGGCGGTGATGTCACCACGGCGCTTGTGCCAGGCTACGTGAACTTTAAGCCACGTGCAGTGTCGAACGCCCGCTGGCAGGTCACGGGATGGACTCAGCAGGTGCCATGGGTTGACTGAGATGAGTGGCCGATGCACCACCTGTGCCCCCTACTGTGTTAACTCATCCACTCATTTTTTTCACTTGCTCCCCAACCACCCATTATCACTCTCACTACAAAGACAAAAATCCCCTGTATAGCCTTAACAATAACCCACCACTCATCCTCTGTCCCACCCACTCAATCCCCTCACCCACCAACGCACCAACTCACTCTCAACCCACCCACGCAGTGCGGTGTTGGCGTCGCTCGCATCTCACCCACCCACTCAATTACTCACCCACCCACTCGCTCACCCTCTAACCCACCCAGCCTCCAACCCACGCACTCACCCAGTCACCCACTCATTCACTCAATTACTCACCTACCCACCCACTCATCCTCTATCTCACTCACCCTCTCACCCACTCACTCACCCTCTAACCCACCCACTGACCTACCCACCCTCTAACCCACCAACTCACCTACTCACCCTCTAATCCACCAACTCACCTACTCACCCTCTAACCCACCCACTCACCCTCTAACCCACCAACTCTCCCACTCACCCTCTCACCTCACCCACTCACCCTCTAACCCACCCACTCACCTACTCACCCTCTAATCCACCAACTCACCTACTCACCCTCTAACCCACCCACTCACCCTCTAACCCCACTCACCCACTCACCCACTCACCCTCTAACCCACCGACTCTCCCACTCACCCTCTCACCTCACCCACTCACCCACTCACCCTCTAACTCACCCTCTAACCAACCCACCCACTCACCCTCTCAACCCACCCGCACAGGGCGGAGTTGGCATCGCACGCATCGGCATCTCACCCACTCACTCAATTACTCACCCGCCCACTCACCCTCTAACCCACCCACTCACTCACGCACGTGCCCACCCATTCATCCGTTCACTAAATTACTCACCTACCCATCCACTCACCCTCTCACCCACTCACTCACGCACTCACCCTCTCACCCACTCACTCACTCACTCACCCCCTAACCCACCCAATGACCATCTCACCCACCCACCCACCTATGCACTCACTCTCTCACCCACCCACTAACCCACCCACCCACTCACCCACAAACTCACCCTCTCAACCCACCCGCACAGGGCGGAGTTGGCGTCGCTCGTATCGGCATCGTCGTGGCGGCGTCGGGCGACCCTGCGGACAGCGCGTCGTTCTACACGGACCTGTTCGTGCGCGTCTACGGGGCCCGGGAGGCCGTCGTGATCCCCATCGACCTGGGCCAGGTCCACAACAACGAGGACCCCGCCGTCGTCGCCCTCATCCAGGGCCTCGGCGGATTCTTCTTCGGCGGCGGAGACCAGGCGCGCGTCATCGAAGCGTGAGCGGTTCACTCGATCGTTCTTCCTTCACTAAGACCAAACGAATATTTTTTTTTCACCAGATAAGGCCCCACTGAGCTATGTAGCTCTTTTGCAGAAGCGACCTGTGGTAATCAGAAATCATAGCTCAACGAAGTGGCTCATAATTACGTGGACATTTATAGGAGCAGCCGAAGACTCAAAACACGTGATGTTGATTCTAAATGCGGACGGAAAAATCGGGGAAAAATCCATGCGACCACGGGGAAATAGACGCGCAAACTCCAAATATACAGCAGGCGTCAGGGTCGGGATCGAATCCAGAACCTTCTGTATACCAGCAAAGTAGTTAACATCTCTCGACCATGGCGCCATCACACCTATTTGATAAGACATGCTGTTTGTTGCTGGCCGTTTGGTTGAAAAAATATTTGGGGGGAGGGGGGGGTGGAGGGAGGCTGCCCTTTGGACCTGTACTCAGCAAGTTTTGTGGATTAATCGTACTATATTAGAAAATAGGGCGGGGGGAAAGTTTTGCGTGCTTGGCTGGCTGGCGGCCTGCCTGGCCTGGACGGCGACGTCTGAAGGGCGTGAGTCTTGCTCGTGGTAACAATAATGAGACTACCACGCACGGACAGAGAACGCTGCATGGCATCGCACGTCGGCATTCCTTGCGGGGGTTTGGACGAAACGAAGATAAGAGGGAGTGGGGCATCACAAGCCACCACGCATTGGGGCCCCCCTCCCTCCCTCCCTGCATCTTCTCCCCACCCCTCTCAATCCATCACCTCCCCCCCTGCAGTTTCTTCCACAACCAGGGAGGCGTGCGGGTTGAGTCTTCGGCCCTGCGAGCCATCAAGGAGGCCCACGATGCCGGGGCCGTGGTGGCCGGCTCCAGCGCGGGCACCGCCTGCCAGGGCTCTGCCGTCATGATCAACGGTACGTCCTAGAGGGACATCGTCAACGTTGAGATAAACGGTACGTCTTAGACGGACATCGTCAACGTCGCGATCAACGGTACGTCCTAGAGGGACATCGTCAACGTTGAGATCAACTGTACGTCCTAGAGGGACATCGTCGCAATCAATGGTACCTCCTAGAGGGACATCGTCAACGTCACGATCAACGGTACGTCTTAGACGGACATCGTCATCGTTGAGATCAACAGTTCTAGAAGGTAAATAATCAAAACACAAATTAATTACGGGCACGTAAGCACAACTTACTTTGTTTCATCAAACCTATGCAGTTATTAACATTCTACTTTTTTTACGATTCAGAACCAAAGGGGTGCAAAGGCTGCAGTAAAGGTTAAGAACCACTGGTCTAGAGGACCATCGTCGACATGAGGTTCACGTGCGGTCTGTCCCCCGACAACGCGTGCTGCTGCTTTCATAACGTGAACTGGAAACGACACGACGGACGTATTTCGGCAGCGAATCTCTTATTTTCTTTCACGACGCGGATGCGAACCGGGTACGACGCGGTCGAGTGCACGGGATAGGCGGTCGTACTGCGGCTGCCTCATCATCGCATGAGGCGGGATGCTGCTGGATGCTTCTAGATGCTAGCCACGCGCCCTCAGTCTTTGTTCGGCCTGCGTTACGCATCTCACCCATTATCGCGGACTATGCTTTACCCCTACATTCTGTTTTATTTATTATAACGCGATTTATTTTCCCATAATGCGGTGTCCTTCAGGACCACAACGACTACCGCATTTCGATTTAAAGCTTTCGTGACTGCAGGGATTCATCTTCTTGGTTCTTTCTGTAAAGTCAGGTAGAAGGGAAATAATAAAATAAAATAATAATTGTATTTTATTATGTTTTATTTGTATTATTGTATTATTTCCCTTCTATGTGACTTTACCGAAAGAACCAAGAAGATGACTACCGCATTGTAGGGACAAATGCACCCGTTGGCCCCGATCCACGAATATGAGACGACAACCCCCCCTCCCCCACCCTCCGATGAAGCTTGGAAAGAGCTGAATGGAGTTCAAAAGAAGTCACAAACACCAGTTTTTTTTTAAAGACCCAATGCAGAAAATCTCTGGGTTTGATCTTCCACGAAGCTCATGGTCCACCCTAAACCGCATCCACGGCACAAACGATGGCAGATGCGGATGATACCCGATATACAAATGGAAAATTAAAAACGTCTCCAGTAGTAGTGGCGCGACTGTGTCATCCAGAACAGACTACCCAATGTATAACGACGCAATGCCCCGATCCGAAAAAATCCGAATGAGATATCAACGCAGCGATACACTCCGTTGCTCCTGATGCAGTTGTTTGGCTTTGACCACCTGAATGTCACATTGTAGTTGTTGTCTCTGTATCTAAGTCAGCAGCCGTACGAAAGATGAAGAAGACTGTTACCCATAGACTCACTCACACTGTTACCCATAGACCAAGCGGCTTCTGTTTGGCCGGGTAGAGGGTGCTACACGGGCACGACATGGGCACGACACGGGCTGGAGAAGAGATAGAGCTGATACGGTACGGGGGAGGATGTGGAGCTGAGTGGACTTGCCGGAGACCGGTACCAGCAGTGTCAACATCGGCCTCCGTGGAGGATGCTCGTGAAAGACGCTACTGGGCAGTTGGAGGGCAGTGGAGCGACGCTCACAACAACGAGCGGAGCGCAGGGCGGCTAAAACGCAGCAAGTTGGCACAATAGGGGGTACAGCTGGTGCATTTGCCAGTTATTTCAGTCAGCCAACACATGGCACCTGCTGGCTCTGTCCCGTGACCTCCTGCCAGCGAACCTTCGATACTTCATGTGGCCTTAAAGTGCACCTAGCCTGGCACAGGCGCCGTGGTGAAGGCCAACATCAGTAGCGAGTGACATCAGTACAGGTCTTTGGCCTTCACTCTGTCGACTCGGCCCTAAAAGAGTAACTGGTGCGGTGTCCAAACATCAGCATTGGGGAGACAAAGATGGTTGGGCGTGGTGCTGGCCACACATTGCTCTCGTGTGCCATACCAGCCTTCATATGTGCCCGCTAACAGCACTTACCCCATCAATCTGTTTTTGTGTTTGTGTAGTGAGCGACTCCGACACACGTATTTGTAGAAGGCTTCTTGTTTGTTAAGAGCACACAAGGCGATACACTTCGTAACGCGGCTACACCCAAAGCTGCTCTAAACACGCTGGCCTGTTTCCGCCCTGAGCTACGCCGGCTGCTTGACGAGCGTAGCCGTGAAGATGGAGCGAGTCTTGGCAGAAGAACAGCAACGTGGCCGAAGACGAAGATGATGGCGGCAGCGACGCACTCAGGACCCAGACCCCACGCTAACAGCCACGGACCCTTGTGGGTCGGGGCACCGAATATCTCGCTCGGCGTGGCCCAGCTCCACCTCTGACCACGCACCCTTTCTAGAACCTACCAGACCCTTCGGGATGGTTCCCGGAGCTTATCGACTGACATCGCCCTTGACCCTTACCCCATATACGTCCCTTTATGACAAGGCAGTATATGGCACCATAGCTGTAATTACCCTTACAGGCCGGCAGGAGTCACCCTGTCAATACATATGTATGATTTATGTCTGCGTGTGTCTGTCTGTTAATAAGTATGTTATACCTTCCTGTATAATCATCTCCCGACCTACCAGCCTACCTAACTGTCTCTCTCCCGACCTACCTGTCCATATGTCTACTTATCCACCTACTTACCTGACTGCCCTACTTCTCTGTCTCTCTCCCTACCTGTTTGCCTCCCAACTTGTGTATCCCCTTACCTGTCTCCTCACCTCCCCACTTACCTCCCTATCTCCCGAACCATCTCCCTATAACCATATGTCTGCCTACCACCCTACCAGGCTGTCTTCCGGCTGTCTCCAAGCTTTTTTTCTCATCTGTCTGCCAACCATTTGTCTCGCGTCTTACTCGTTTCTCTATCTACCTCCCTACCCGTCTGTCTCCCATCTTACTCATTCGTCCATCTGTCTGTGTGACTGTCTATCTACCTCCCTACCTGCCTGTTTACCACCTCGCTCGTTTGTCCATCTGTATTGTCTCTCGATCTCCATGCCTCTCTCTCTCTGTCAGCACCCTACTGATCTGTCTCCCGTCTTACTCGTCTGCCTGTCCCGCTGTGTGCGTCGCTCCCACCCGTGTCCGTGTGGAGCGCGCAGGCGGACGCAGCTACGAGGCCGTCGTGTACGGCGCCTACTCGTCGGCGCAGAGCAACGCCGACAAGCTCGTCTACGACTCTGAGGGCGGCCTGGGCACCATCCACGGGGTGGTCGTCGACTCGCACTTCAGGTGAACGCACGCACACCCAGTCACCCAGGCAGCCACCCACCCGGCCAGCCACCCAACCACCCATCCAGCCAGCCAGTCACCCACCCATCAAATAGGCCGCCGATGGCGCTCGTTGTACGGGTTCGTGGTTCGAACCACAGCGGCCGCCCTGATTAATCATGGGAAATGTTTGAATGAGTCGACCGGATTTCCTGCTCACGTGAGCTATTGAGCCATCAGAGCTCATCTCATTTTCTGATAACAGCCCTACAGGGAGACAGTGGTGGAAATTCCACATTCCTATGGCGGGGGGTATGAAACCGTCCAGCTTGGAGAGGCCTGATCGTGATGATGGTTATAATGGTGATGATGGTGATGATGGTGGTGATGGTGATGACGGCGGTGATGGTGATGATGGTGGTGATGACGGTGATTCTGATAATGGTGATGATCGTGATGATGATCACGCACAGACCCCGTATCATTATTGGTCATTAAGGCCGTGGTGGAGTCAATTCCACCTCTCTGACCTCGCTGTCCTCTGCCGGTGGTTTTTGGAGCACGATCCCCGGTATCCACCGACGGTCCGCGACGGCCCTCCAGGCGGTCCACGGGGCCCGTGATGCAAACGCAGGCTGATCCACGAATGATGACGGTTGTTTCGGACGCTAATTAAGCAATTACTTATATTTAATTAAAAAATGATGTTAGGTAAACTACCCTAAGATCTAAACGTATGGCCGCGTGTAAAAAATATAATTTTCCGCTAATACGAATGTATTTGGTTTTACTACTGGTATTTATAGAGAGAAGTGAATTCGTTTTGTCACCTGGGGTGGGAGGGGCTGGTGGATGGTTCCTAGGAGGTAATGGCGCAGTCCTGCAAGTGCTCACTCGCGCCGCTGCTGACAAGGAGCTATGGAGGAGCCCCTCTAGGAGGCACCACGTGGGTGCGATCGCGACCCTGACGATGCCTCCTCTACATTTGAAGCTTGCGTGTTCACTCTCCCCGTGGTCGCGTGGATTTGTCTCCGGGTCAGATCGGTTTTCCCCTCCACATTTTAGAATTAACGTCACGCGCTTAGAGTGTTCGGCTGATTAAAATGTCCACATTATGATAAACCGCTTCGTTGAGCTGTCATTCCTGATAGCCAGGTCGCTTCTGAAAAATAGTTACATCGCTCAATGGGTCCTAACCTAGTAAAATAAAATAAGTAATTAAAAAAACACGCTTTTATGAAATGTAATAGTAATGGCAGAACTCCACGACTCCAGAAAGTGGCCCCGAAGCTTGCCATAACGTAAGGGACCGTGGCCAATTACAGCCAACGTCAGTTGACCATGGACAATTAGACCCAAGCCGAAACATATAACCTATATAATTCATTTTTTGTCTGTCTGTCTGTCTATCTGTCTGTCTGTCTGTCTGTTTGTCCGTCTGCGTACGCTCCCTTCCGGGGGATTTAGCTCTCGGACCGTGGGGTTCGCCGAGATTAAATTTTGCAGGTGGGCACGCCCCCGGCCCGCGGTAAACTTAGGCATTTCCGATTTTTCGTCTCTAAACTTTAAATCGGACCGATTATCGATTTAGTGCGATTGCTCTTTAGTTATTTATTTATTTAATATTGCCGGCCGGCGCGGACCACGGCGGTTGCCCCTGGCAACGGGTAGCAACAACTTCGCTGCGGGGTGGACGCCATTTTTAATTCCCGTTACAAATATGCGCACGCATTAACACGCGACTCTGAGGTAAATTCATCAAAGTTTCACGTCCTCTTCACTCCCCTTCCACCCCAATGTGTGCAATTACTATTATAGGGTCGGTAGATAATAAAATTATAGCGATTAGACAGTATTATTGTACATACACTCCACTCTCACACTCTCAGACTCACACACATACACTCACTCTCACACACACACATACACTCACACTCACACACAAACTCACTCTCACACTCAGACTCACACACACAGACTCACTCTAACACTCAGACTCACACACACAGACTCACTCTAACACTCAGACTCACACATACACTCGCTCTCAGACTTTCAGACTCGCACACACTCGCGGCGTTGCTCCGTGTTCGGTGGGGGGGGGGATGTCACGAGTGGGCGTGTTTACCTTCCCCCCACCCTCCCCGATATCTTCAAACAATCGCGGAGATTCTTATTCCCGTCGAAAAGCTACGAGGTTAGTCACGCAACTTCACAGCTCAGTTAAAACATTTAAATATTTATGTTTACTATTTTGTATCACTCTTATATAGGGATTAAGTTATGTTTGATGATAGTAAATATACACTATGCACCACGATTTTTCCCTGGGTAAAAAGTGTTATTTTTATATTGCCTAAGCCTCCTAAGTATATAAGATGGCTATTATTCCCCATACATGTTGCTTTTGTGACCAGAACTTTATATAAAGGAAAGAATTACACAAATGCACACGTTTTCTCCTAGCAAAATAGGTCCATTTGTAAATATCACTGTCCGTGTCAAAAAAAATTAAGTTTGAGGGGAATTTTCTCCAATTTGTAACTTTTGAGATGTCAGCGTATAGAAAATAACACTACCCAGGGACTAACACATGTGTAGTTTTTGGTAGTGAGGGTGAGTGGTTGTTGTGAGGGTGAGTGGTGAGGGTGAGCAGTGAGGGTGAGCAGTGAGGGTGAGTGGTGATTGGTGAGGGTGTGATTGGTGAGGATGAGTGGTGAGTGGTCAGGGTGACTGGTGAGGGTGAGTGGTGAGCGGTGAGGGTGAGTGTTGAGGGTGAGTGGTGAGTAGTGATGGTGAGTGGTGAGCATGACTGGTGAGTGGTGAGGGAGAGTGGTGAGGGAGAGTGGTGAGGGTGAATGGTGAGGGTGAGTGGTGAGGGTGAGTGGCAAGTGGTGAGGGTGAGTGGTGATTGGTGAGGGTGTGATTGGTGAGGATGAGTGGTAAGGGTGAGTAGTGAGGGTGAGTGGTGAGCAGTGAGGGTGAGTGGTGATTGTTGAGGGTGTGATTGGTGAGGATGAGTGGTGAGTAGTGAGGGTGAGTGGGGAGGGTGAGTGGCGGTTGTGAGTGGTGATTAGTGAGGGGTGAGGATGAGGTTGAGTGGTGAGGGGAGGTTGAGTGGTGAGGGTGAGTGGTGAGCGGTGAGGGTGAGCAGTGAGGGTGAGTGGTAATTGGTGAGGGTGTGATTGGTGAGGATGAGTGGTGAGGGTGAGTAGTGAGGGTGAGTGGTGAGCGGTGAGGGTGAGTGTTGAGGGTGAGTGGTGAGTAGTGATGGTGAGTGGTGAGCATGACTGGTGAGTGGTGAGGGAGAGTGGTGAGGGAGAGTGGTGAGGGTGAATGGTGAGGATGAGTGGTGAGTGGTGAGGGTGAGTGGCAAGTGGTGAGGGTGAGTGGTGATTGGTGAGGGTGTGATTGGTGAGGATGAGTGGTGAGGGTGAGTAGTGAGGGTGAGTGGTGAGCAGTGAGGGTGAGTGGTGATTGTTGAGGGTGTGATTGGTGAGGATGAGTGGTGAGTAGTGAGGGTGAGTGGGGAGGGTGAGTGGCGGTTGTGAGTGGTGATTAGTGAGGGGTGAGGATGAGGTTGAGTGGTGAGGGGAGGTTGAGTGGTGAGGGTGAGTGGTGAGCGGTGAGGGTGAGCAGTGAGGGTGAGTGGTAATTGGTGAGGGTGTGATTGGTGAGGATGAGTGGTGAGGGTGAGTAGTGAGGGTGAGTGGTGAGCGGTGAGGGTGAGTGTTGAGGGTGAGTGGTGAGTAGTGATGGTGAGTGGTGAGCATGACTGGTGAGTGGTGAGGGAGAGTGGTGAGGGTGAATGGTGAAGGTGAGTGGTGAGTGGTGAGGGTGAGTGGCAAGTGGTGAGGGTGAGTGGTGATTGGTGAGGGTGTGATTGGTGAGGATGAGCGGTGAGTAGTGAGGGTGAGTGGGGAGGGTGAGTGGCGGTTGTGAGTGGTGATTAGTGAGGGGTGAGGGTGAGGTTGAGTGGTGAGGGTGAGTGGTGAGCGGTGAGGGTGAGCAGTGAGGGTGAGTGGTAATTGGTGAGAGTGTGATTGGTGAGGATGAGTGGTGAGTGGTGAGGTGAGTAGTGAGGGTGAGTGGTTGTTGTGAGGGTGAGTGGTGAGAGTGAGTGGTGAGGGTGAGTGGTGAGCGTGAGTGGTGAGGGTGAGTGGTGATTGTTGAGGGTGAGTGGTGAGGATGAGTGGTGAGTAGTGAGGGTGAGTGGTGAGGGTGAGTGGTGAGGGTGAGTGGTGAGGATGAGTGGTGAGTAGTGAGGGTGAGTGGTGAGGGTGAGTGTTGAGTGGTGAGGGTGAGTGGCGGTTATGAGTGGTGATTAGTGAGGGGTGAGTGGTGAGGGTGAGCGTGAGTGGTGAGTGGTGAGGGTGAATGGTGAGGATGAGTGGTGAGTGGTGAGGGTGAGTGGCAAGTGGTGAGGGTGAGTGGTGATTGGTGAGGGTGTGATTGGTGAGGATGAGTGGTGAGGGTGAGTAGTGAGGGTGAGTGGTGAGCAGTGAGGGTGAGTGGTGATTGTTGAGGGTGTGATTGGTGAGGATGAGTGGTGAGTAGTGAGGGTGAGTGGGGAGGGTGAGTGGCGGTTGTGAGTGGTGATTAGTGAGGGGTGAGGATGAGGTTGAGTGGTGAGGGGAGGTTGAGTGGTGAGGGTGAGTGGTGAGCGGTGAGGGTGAGCAGTGAGGGTGAGTGGTAATTGGTGAGGGTGTGATTGGTGAGGATGAGTGGTGAGGGTGAGTAGTGAGGGTGAGTGGTGAGCGGTGAGGGTGAGTGTTGAGGGTGAGTGGTGAGTAGTGATGGTGAGTGGTGAGCATGACTGGTGAGTGGTGAGGGAGAGTGGTGAGGGTGAATGGTGAAGGTGAGTGGTGAGTGGTGAGGGTGAGTGGCAAGTGGTGAGGGTGAGTGGTGATTGGTGAGGGTGTGATTGGTGAGGATGAGCGGTGAGTAGTGAGGGTGAGTGGGGAGGGTGAGTGGCGGTTGTGAGTGGTGATTAGTGAGGGGTGAGGGTGAGGTTGAGTGGT